GTCCAAGAGAACCCCCACTTCTCATCTCCATAGCCTCTGACCCTGCCGCCGGTTTCTTCGGAGATTGGGAAGCCGGCGAGGGAAGTGCTGCCTGCGGCAGCTGCAGCGGTGGCGGTTCAGTCTGGTGAGAGGAAGTTCAGAGGAGTGAGGAGGCGGCCGTGGGGTAAATGGGCTGCCGAGATTCGGGATCCGGCGAAGAGGGTTCGGCTCTGGCTGGGAACCTACGATACCGCGGAGGAGGCGGCGATGGTCTATGACAACGTCGCGATTAAGCTCCAGGGACCGGACGCACAGACGAATTTCGTCAATCCGTGTGAGAAAGATGAAGAAGTGGAGATCAATAGGCCGGAGGTTAAAGTTAGCTCGACTTCAGGGTACAACTCCGGCGACGAATCACACAACAACAACCTCGCATCCCCCACCTCTGTTCTCCGATTCAGAACCCAACAATCCGCTTCAGAGTCCTCCGAGCCGGAAACTTCTCAGTTGACCCTGCTGGGGTTTCGGAATAGAGAGACAGTGAGAGGGATGAAGAAGGGTTGTGGAAGGCGATCGATTTTAGTCAGGAAGAAGAAGACGGAGAAGGAATCGACACAACGGCTGGGAAAAAGCAAAGGAGCAATCGACTCACAGCGGCGGGTCGTGCCTCTGCATCAACTCACGCTGACGAGCTCACGCCGGCCGTTTCCAGTGCTCCCCGTCGGGTACCACCGGTACCAAATCCCTCCTATTGTCGTCAACGATCAGCATCACCACCCCCAGGCCCGAATTCAAGAATCTAATGAATTTGGGAGGAAGAACTAGGGTTCTTGAATTTGGGGGGTTTTCAAATCCGAATATGGGATACAATTTCTTATGGACCAGGAGCGTTGGACATCATATTCAAAGCTTCTCCTCTATTTTGTGTAGTGAGAAAAGAAAAGTGGTTTTAGGATCAGTGGTGGAGACATGGAGGTGGAGTGGGGAGGAGAAGATGGACGAGAAGCAGAGGTAGCGGAACTGCGGAAGGGTGAGGGAAGAGATATTATTGTTCTATGTTTCTTTTTTGTAATTTTGTTTTATTTAAGTTAATTAAAGTAAAAAGATAAAATTATGATGGTTTTCCACCTGTCATTGTTACTTACGAAATTGTTGCCACGTCAGTCTTTCCGTTAGTCCAGTCAGCACGTTTACTAACACCGTCAAAGAATTGGACGGAAGTGGCTATTTTTGGTATTTCGCCAAAAGTGGCTATATTTGGCAAAACCGTCAAAGTTTTGGCTACCCAAATGTATTTTGCCTTCTTTTTAGTGACTAAACAATAGTTAGTAAAATACGGTACGGGAAAGTTACGTATAACATACATGCGTGTATTATACTTCGTCTCTTAGCTAATGTTACGTTTAATAGTATATTAATAGTCATGAATATATAAAATTAATTATTTTTATAAATAAATAAATATGTAAAAAACAGTAAAGTTAATAATTTATTTCATTAAATACGGATATTAACGTGTTATACGGGTTTTATACGTGTTTAGAACGGTAGCTGTCAAATGAACGAAAACTAATGAAACGACAATAATACAAATACGGAAGTTTTAAACGGATAAAGTACGTACAGGTACATATACGTGTATTAAACGGAGTATTTACTAACTATTCTAAACATAACATAATTTAGTAATATCAGTGACCAAATGTGTCATTTATTTCTTTATTAATTGATGTTTTTCCGCTTTCTATCTCAAAACTCAAGTTTCTCCAAAACCTTCACATCTTTCTTACTAATTCCTGATATGAGAAAGAAAGATTTACCAAACAAACATTTTACTATAAGTCTTAAATTCCTAGTCTATCCAAGAACTGAGTATCTCTTGTCCAGCACACCAACATCTCGTTAGAGAGAATCTACGAGACTACGACAAGAAATGGTTACAGTTAAAAAAGTAGTGCAAGCTGCAAGAATCTTTTTTAAAGCCTCCAAAATGAGCTTGTCAAAACAAAAACCTAATATATCATATATGTACAAGCACAAAATCTTCACAAGCTAGCTTCGTGTTTTGATTAGTGACAAGAAACAGGAGTACACCAAACACAAAATCTTCCACCGGCACGAAACAGTAACAGTCTAGAGTGAAAAGGGGGCAGAAGAGAAGGAACTACTATTATTATCCAAATGGTATCTGCCTGCTGCTGCTGCTGCTGCAGGAAACCATACAATATTAGATGTAATCAAAGCCGCGTCCAGGCTGCTCAATGTCTGGATCCATGCCCCTTCCAGGCCTCGCTGGACCTCTGCATCATTATACACCAGTGTCAATTCCTTTCTCTGAATGTGAAAAGCTTCTGTACAGCATTCTCGCACGAACACAAGACCAAGGAGGGGTCTAACTACCAAGAAATTACACTAGACATTCTATATTTGATTAACGATTTTACTACTACCTCAGTAGCAAACGGCAGGCAGACCAGTATGTGATATTATCAGTTCACTAAACTCATCTTCCATAGCATCTTTTGAAAAATAACATGAGGCGGACATTCTGGATTGGCTAATGACGGGGGCATTTGAAGAATCCATGCAGCATGGGAGTATCACCCCTCAACCGAGTGGAAGGACTTGACGGGAGACTAATTTGCACGGTATTATGATAAACCATAATTGACTACTTAACAGCAGCACAATTCCGATGGGGATAAACATAATAAGCCTACAAAGTTCAGAGAGAGAGAGAGAGACATCAAGACACACACCTATTAAACCGGTTTGGTTCGAAACCTGGAATTCCAGGAGGGCCATAAGGATCAAAACGGACGCCAGGAAGAGCACCCCTGCAGATAAATTAGTCAATCATCAGTTCCATGTACAATAGTTGTACCATGGGGAGAGAGATGGAATGGAAAAGGGCGTGTGTGTGAGAGTGAGAGCTCACGGTTGTACTCCAGGGAGACCAAGCCCTCCGTTATCCCCACCATACCATCTAGGGTTATTAGGCCCTAGAAGCATGCCGCCATCGCCACCAAAACCACCCCTTTTTCCGAATACAAAAATCAGAGGTCAGTTTTGAATCTAAGTTGCTAAATAGATAGGCAGCACGTAGACATCACTAAAATCAACCATGTTAATACCTTCCAGGGTATATTCCAGCACCAGGCCCAGGAACAAGATCATCCATGCCAAAGGGAGGAACACGAGGGCCTACGACTCTACCGAGAAAAAATGCAAGGTATTAGCCTATTTGCCATTCCTAGAACTGAATTACAGTCCTGCCATAGCAAGGTGAACAAGCTAATTAAAGATGAAGAGGAAAGATCAACTCATCGACTCCACCACCATAAAAGCTAAAACAAAAACTCACCAGATTCACAAATGAAAAAAATTATTTCAACTGGCAACTAAAGAGCAGGGCTACAAAAGAAATATACCCGGAAGGATAAAGATTAGGGGTAGGGTCGGGCCACGCAGTGCGTGGTTCACTTTTGAAACGCCCTCCTGAATCACTTGTTTGACTGCAAAGGGATGTTCCATCCCAGCAAGAAGAGCAAACCAAAGTAGACCAATAAGCAGATTAGAGGACATAGTCTATTTTTTAGCAAATCATCAAGCAACAACTCTAAACACCTAAATAGATAAAGAGTTAGAAAAGCGTTCAACTGCACAACGGGTAAATGAACAAAACTCACGTCCATGGGAGCCATTCAGTTAAATAAATCCAAAAGACAGAAACAAGCAAAAGAAAAGAGACATTATCCTGCAGTTCCCTTTCCGCTCCCAAATCTAATCTCGAAAGATGCAGCTCCATTCACAAAACCATAATGCACACAGCTACTCCAGAACATCAATAAAAAAATACCTTTGTGATTCACTTGACGAGCCAGTATGGGAAGAGCCACCCAATTTAGACAAGAGCTCGGCGTTGATACTGGAAATCAGATTATCTAACTTCTTGAACCGCTGAGAGTAATTCGAGGCCCCATTCTCGCCAACATAGTCGTTAACACTTAGAACAATCACCAACACTGTGTCAATCCACAATCTGAATAAATTATCTTAATTCAACGGAAAGAGAACACATATCAAACGAAGACCAAACCTAATTTCCATATGGACAGGGTCTGCCCCAGAATTGGAACCCGCATCAACAAGCATAGCACTAACCACCAGCTTGTCGTTCATCGTCAAACATTTAACCAAAACCCTCTTTCCTAAGTTCTCAGGGTTCACATACACGAAGCCGTACTCTTCATCAACCTCGTTCCAGTGGTCGATCCCAACCTCGTCTAAAACCCACACACACAAAACCATTCAATTGCATTTCACAGGGGGGAAAAATCAGAAGGAGATCGCAGCGGTGCAAATTCTAGCATAATAAGTACCTGCGGAGGTAGAAGAGAGAGCGGATTCCGTCAAGGCGGGAATCCCCGTCGCGGTGAGCAAGTAGCCGGCGGCGTGGAAGGAAGCGTGAACGACGAATGCTGCCTTGTCGTGATTGTTCCTGAACGCCGGCCTCGCTGCCCTGATCACTCCCATTACCGACTTTTCGGTAGCCATACTTGGTCTTTTGCTGTAATAGATTGATTTGGCTTCCGGTGTGGAACTTTGGGGAGAGATGAGTGTTCAAAAATCAAAACTTCGAAGAGGCTTTCCACTTCCAGCGATTGCAAAGAAAGGGTTGGGTTTCTGCCCGGTTCGGTTTAACTATCTCGAATTCGAAATTTCATGTGTATGCTTTTTAAATTAAATTTATATATATGCTGTGATTATGAATGAATATTTTTATTTGAATTATGATTAGAATATAATAATTTTATTTATTTATCAAGGTTGTCAATCCGATTTATACTATTATGTCAGTTTGGCAAGTTGTATGGTTCGATCAGTGTACAATTGCTTTATGCCGGTTCATGCCGATTTGGCAAGTGGTATGAGGTATCAAATTCATTATTATTGGACATATTCCAACTAGACAAGTTATTGTGACACATCGATTTTTGAAATAATATTAGAGCTTTCTCTAATCAAAAGGTCTTTTGTTTCGAAACCTGACGATCCGATGTGCTACCTCATATGTACTACAACATCCGAGTGTCATATTTTGAGTTTTGTACAACATTTTTTATTTTGGTTCAACATACCTTAATGATAGACTAGCTATAGTTACTACCAATAAAAAGTATATTTGTACCGTCATCATCAATGTAGTAAAAATCATTTTTGGAAGGTTAAAAGCTTATGTTGTTACGCTTCTAGGTCATTTAAAATGCTTTTATTTAGAATCGCGCTTTTGATTGCAAGCTGTGTAATAATGTAATCAAAATCGCACTTGATTGAAAGATTAAAAGTTTTAAGTTTTTACTCTTCTAGATCACCAAAACACTTATACGTAGAATCAAACTTTTAACTACATTGATCATGACTCATCCTTTGGTCAACTAAGATTGTAATAACGTTGTTTTTTCATCCCTATCTCCACCTTCCATACCCACAAGCAAAACCCCACCATCTCCATCCCCTAGCTCTCTACAACCATCACTCCCTACTCCCAAAACACCATCAGTAACCAACTCATCCTCCAAACCTCGATTCGGTACAAGAAAAACCAAACCCAATGTCCCCAACCGCAACCCATTCCTCAACAGAACCACCGCCCACAGGTTCCCGAACTCGGTTCGGGTCACCCCAAACATGTGAAGCATCAACCCTCCTCCCCACTTGGACGACAGTGACCCCAAACTGTCGATGCACATCAGCAGCGCGAAAAACGTGCCCTCGATCCCCGACGGGCACAACCTCGTGCTCAACACGATCATCGGGGTCCACCGGACCCTCGAGACCACCCTCGACACGCACTCCTCTGCCATCACAAACAATGAGTCCGGGATGCCCAACCAGAGGTTCCACCGCAGGATGAACACTACGTCGAGCATTCCAGAGAGTGCGTAGAGGAGCTGGGCCGAGAATAGGAGGGTGCGGAACGGGATGTTTTTCAGGGCTTTCTGGTAGATGACTACGCCAACGATGGAGGCCAGGGCTCCCACGGCATAGACCATGCCTATGAAGGATTGGGAGAAGGCTGGACCGGGTGGACCGGGGTTAGGGTTTGGGTTAGGATTGGGGTGGGTGTACCAGTAGAACTGGCCTTCGTGGGTGCTGATGCTGAGGGCCAATGAGAGGTACATGTAGAGGGATGGCTTCCATACTTGTGGGCATTGGATTGTTCTCCATGTCCCTTTGATTGCCACTCCTAGGTCTTCTACTACCTGATTCAAGAAAAGAAAAAGGCGGTACAAATTGGTTTTCTCAAATATGGATAACAGGGTTTAACATAATTAAATCATCTAAAAAATGTCACACGTGTATTTCAAACTCGATCCAAATTAAAATGGTCAATCTCATGTTACCCATGTTGTTACAAATGATGTTAACGAGATAATAGTCTGGTTTGGATCGAGTTTGGTTTAGGATATGAATTGGTACTGCCATTTAAAATACTTCCATGTGAGTTTACAACAACAACAACAAAAAAACCTTAGTGTAAGTACACTTGGCTATTAACGGTTGAACTTTTGTAAAAAAGTTGACTATTTCATTTGCATTCATATTCCAAAAACCTCAACAAAATATGAATGACAAAATTCATCAAGTTGATAAATTAGCATAGACAAGGAAAGCGGATCGTAGGTTCAACCGAAAATTGGACCAAAAGCGGTATGGTGGGCTGCTTGTGCTGATTTTACCGTGCCAGCCGGTTTTTCCGGTTTGACCGGTTGAACCGGCCGGTACGATCCGGTTTCCTGGTCTATGATTCAGCTTCATTTCTACGTATTCTCGTCCAATATGTGGAAAATAATTAAAAGGAATATTATTTTGCTATTTTTCTATGTTGAAAATGGGTCACCGTGGTTATATAATGCTCTATTTGGTTCTTTTTTTGATGGATTATATTTTTTATACTATCGCATTTCATTTCTCTATCAATAGTGAAAAACGGTATTTACCGGTACAAAACGGTTGAACCACGGTCGTACCACAAAATACCATACCAGAAAGAAATCCGGTATGATGTCCGGTACGGTTTCCTTTACCATGTAAATTAGTCGAAACAATACTACAATACAATAGTGAGGAATTCGTCAAAGATTAAAGTTCAATGATTGTTTCGTTAACGCCCCTAAACTTCAGTGATCATTTACGTAATCGACCCAAAAGAACACACGATTTTTCCATACCTTGATGCTCGTGTTTCCGTTCTCGTCATTCTGACCACCAGGAGACCGTTTTACTTCATAGATGACGAACCCTAACACCGCCACCAGAGCAGGCGGCATCGCCAGAAGAACCAGAGCCAGCTACAAGCAGGCAACCTTCATCACATTAATGGCGACAGAGCATTTTAAACTTCTCCCCAATCTCTCAACTACCCAAATCACAAAACGAAACCGTCGACTTTCCAATTTCAAAATACCTGAGGTCCAAGCCGATGAACAAACAACCCACTAGTTGAAAACCCAATCAAAGCGCCAACAGAGGAGCAAAACCCGCACAGGCTCTGCATATCGGCAGCCAAACCCTTAATTTCGATGCTGCTCTTCGCAATACAAGCATCGATCGTCACATCGGCGATCGCCATTCCGGCCGTGACGCCCACCAGGCAAGTCAGCGCCGCCGCCACCGGCAATTCCCCCACCAGCGCCACCGCCAGAGCGGAAGCAGATCCCAATACCCCCGCGGCCACGAAGTACGGCCGCCGCCTGTACCCGCCGACGGGGAAAACGTCGGTGAGGAGGCCCCAGAGGGGTTTCATGACCCAGGGGATGTAGTAGAAGCCCATGTAGATCTGGACCGTTGAGGGTTGCAGCTTCTGGACGTCTTTCCAGTAGTAGTCGGTGACGACCCTGAAGAAGGAGCCGGAGAAGCCCTGGCTGAGGCCGTAGACGACGAAGATCCCGAGGATGAATGTTGGGTTTAAGTTGGATGACAGCATTTGCAGCCATTGGAGGGGCTCGAGCAGGATGGATTTGGTGTTGGAGAGATAATTGGTTGGTGGGGATGTTTGATCCGTGGGATCTTCTTCTTGTGATTTTGGAGGAGGGTTTTTGGTGTTGTTGTTGATTAGGTGCTGGGTTTCTAGGGAGAGGGGTTCCATGGATGGCGCCATTGCTGGAAAGCTTTGACTGGATCAGAGAGATTGAAGGATTCAAGATGGGAAGAGGGAAGGAGAGTTGTGTTGTTGTTGTTCTTCTTCTTCTTTTTCTTCTTCTGACATTTTCTTTGTTTGAGGTCAAACTCTCAGATGGGTTCTAACTTCTAAGAAATCGATTTTGATTATAGTATAAAATCTAGAATGACAAAAATTACAAAACTCGAGTTTTACCACCCTTAATATGAACTATATCGATATGATTTTGAAAGGATGGCAGATTGTCGCTTTTGTAATTCTTTTTTATTCTGTATCATTTCTTCTTATAATATTTTTATAGGGATGACATATATTAATTTTTGTTTATCATTAGGCCATCCTTTCTCCTTCTTAGTACTTTACTACTCCTAACTCTTAAATTTGGCAAATTGCCATGTGAAGTGTTTTGGGTTCCACAAAATTGTATTGTATAATGTGATTAAGAAGTCCAATTTTAATTGAAAAGACCGTTGTTAATTATTTGATCCAAACCGTTGGTAAAAGAGAGAATCACTTGTGATTAAGAAGTCCATTTTTAATAATAATAAAAAAGCACTGGTTTTTTTTACTTTCCCGCTTGTACCACTTCGTGAACTTGTGTTTTCATTGCAGGTAAAGAACTCGCAGAACACTAGAACAGAGCAGCTTCAGCCTGCTGCTGCCTTCGGTTCTGTTCTGTTCTGTTCTGCAAAGCGGAGAAGACTAGGAGCTGCAGCCCGTTAATGCCTTCTGGATTACTTAAACACACCTGATTCCTCTGTTATCTTAGCAATCAACATAATAAGTACAAAAATCATAGAACTGTACAAAGGTCTGAGAGTACAGTACACAAATCACTATAACCAACACCAAAAAGGCTTATAAATGTATGTACGTGATGTCTGTATGCAGACATGTACAAACAAATGTGCTACGACGTATACATGATCGATCCATTCATGTGATTGGAGGAGGCTGGATATTTACGCGGCGAGCAGTTTCTGGATATCCTTCTGCAGCGAACACATAGGAAGGTGACTTTAGAACTGAGATTAGTGGACAAAGAATTGATCTGACAGAGGAAGGTGTTCACTTCTATAGTTCTATATCTCATCAACACAAAATAAGAGCGAGGCAGGCAAGTTGCTGTGGAGGCCTTTTCAGAAGCGGAGGAAACGGGGAAGATGACAGGAAAGGTACCTCGATTTGGAAAGGCGACGTTGTTGGTTGATAACGTTCAACAACCTTTCCATTCTTGTTCACCAAGAACTTCTCGAAGTTCCATTTGATCAAATCGCCTAAGAAGCCGCCAGCACTCGACTTGAGAAACTTGTATACTGGGGCTGTGCTTGGTCCATTTACGTCAACCTGCAACACATGATCACCAACAACTGTTGAGATTCAAATCTCTGTCAAAATGGTCGCGAATGAATTTAAAGATGAGAATTCTGGTGGAAATGCCTTATCAAATATCGGGAATTCAGCTTTGAATCGGGTACAAGCGAATTGCTTGATCTCGGGATTCGATCCTGGTTCTTGGCCTCCAAACTGGTTGCAAGGGAAGGCTAGGATTTCGAGCCCTACGTTCAAACACAAACCATGTTTTCTTCCCTTAAATACTACCATATAATTCTAATGATAACAACTTCTCCTACCAACTATAAACTAGCAATAGAATAACTTGAGGCAATGAATGCATAATAGAACAGTAGGTAACCATTGACTACTTCCACAATATGAACAAATAACTCCTAGATGATAATGACAGCAAAGTAAGGTGCATTTGGCTGTTGGGGTTCCTTTTTCTTCTTCTCCATTTCTTCTTATTTGTTTGTTTGAAAAAGTTGTTGGAAAAGGGCTTACCTTGTGCCTTGTACTTCTCGTAAATGTGCGACAATTCCGAATAGTTCGAAGATGTCAAGCCACTGCAATCAAAGAAAGCAAAATAAGCATTGACCCTGTAAAGACAGATCTTTGGATATCAATTCTCAGGAATAAGTATGGATTGGTGACAGACAAGACAACCCTACCATCGGGAAGCAACATTGACAATTAGCAGAACTCTGCCCTTGAATTTGCTCAGAGACACATCTTTACCATCAATGTCCTGCAGAACACAAAAGGGAACTAATCATCAGTTCCTGCTAAATCTAATCCCTGAGGTTTTGGCTCTCACCATGTCACAAAACAGCAGTCATTTCGCACCTCAAGTATTGGAAGAAGAACAACCTGAAACTGATTTACCTCATTCCATCACTATATAGTTTGACTTAAACGAAAGTATCTCCCTTTCAAACAGCAATAGCAGAAACTGGGTACATGCAATTTTTCAATTTCCCCAAATGCTGCGCACAGAAACCTAATTCAACTAAGTGACCTTAAGTTTATCTTCACAGACGCATGAAATGGGATACGGAAACGACAGCATAAGTCAATTCAGAACTCACAAACTTCATAACCAAAAGGATAAGATAGTTGGATGCTTGCAGCTTATCAGCTTCCCCTGAAAAAACATACCTTTACAGTGAAGTCATGAATGGATTTCTCAGTGGCAGCTCTGGCGTAAACGCCAAAAGAACGAGTCTTTGTAGCAACCCCGGCTAGTTTCTGGGATTGCAAAGAGAACCCATGTTGCAGAAACCCTGATTTGGAGGAGGAGAGCGGGGATAACCTGATTGATGCAAGGGAAACGCTCAGCGACTGCAAGGTAGGAGAACAACACCTTGCCTTGTCTGCGATACTCTGCAATGGTGAATTTGAGAAAGTTGCGGCGAACGGCATCGAAGCTGAAGCCATGGCGGTGGTGTGTCGCAGCCTGGAGGGGAACCACAGCAGTAGCTCTGTTTTTCTATCTCGTTGTTTGTCCTAATTTTCGCTTCTGTTCGCCAGCAAATCTGTAAACGTGGAGACTTTCTTCCCTGGTTTATTGTCAATTAACATGAATTAGTGTTCACTGTAACTCCTAATTCCACTGTGACCTCAACATCCAAAACCAAAAGGACCATACACTAGCGGCTATCCACAAGTTCAAAATTCAGGTCCTGGCCCTCCTAATCCTATCAAGTGACAATATCATTTGTGTTCCCTTCTGCATATGTTAAACTTACATATTAGTACCCAAACCAGTCATATCTTACAAAACAGTCCATCTTACCCACTTACTAGGGATGGGTTGGGTCGGGTTTTGCCAAACTCAAACCCAAACTCATTGGGTTTATCCGTGAAAAAAACTCGGGGTAAAACTTACTGGGTTTGAAAAACTCAAAGTCAACCCAACCCGCTTGGTATCCGCGGGTTCATGGGTACCCGCGGGTTTTTGTCGTAAAAAATTTACAATAACAAGTTCCTATCAAATTAAAGTCAAATATCAATTTCTCAATACAAATTATCCATATTTAAAACACCATTCTAGAAAATTCAAGCAAATCACAAATTAACTATACAAATTGTTCAATACCAATCTAGAAAACTCAAGAAAATTGAAGCAAATCACAAATTATCCATAAATAACATGATTAATTGAAAGCTTCTTTCTTTCAATTAAGTTTCTTCACTCTCCACTAGATAACATCAACTTCATTCTACACAAGGAAGAAAAAATTAGACATGTCTCCACAAACATAAATAAGATTAGTTATTTAGAATATTAATATACCGAGAAAATAAATTATACGGGTGTGGACGGGTAACCATGGATCGGGTTTATCTAAACCCAACCCGGTAAATAATGAACGGATTTAAACCCAAATCCGACCCAAAACCCATCAACACGAATTTTACCCACGTTGACCGGATTGATTCGGGTGGGTACCCGTGGATTCGGGTTTTTTCGCCATTCATAACCTACAAAGAAATGGGCATCTTCGTTAATTTTGATTTTTGAGTTTCTAACTTCTGATTTCATTAATTTTGTAATTCACTAATTTGTAGCCGTTTCCCACTCATTTACTTTCACTCCTCGCAGTTGGCAGAACTTTGGCGCAACCTGCAGCTCCAAAAAAGCGAAACCCTTCTGATTGCCTCTTCTTCCTCCTCGTTCACCATTGATTGTCGCCTCCAGCACTCTCTTTAGCGATGACGAGAGGGCAGTGACAAGCTTGAGACTTGGCGACGGTTGGAGTAGGCTCTTCGCTCCTTCTCGCATCAATTCTTCCACCTCCGATGTGCAGCCTCTCCGCCATCGCACCGCTCTCTCCGCTTCTCTCAAGGTGAAAACATAAAGAAATGCCATCTTCTTGTATTCTTTCGCCCGGCTCGTAAGTTTTGGCTGTCGTTGCGACTGGGGTTCGATAAGGACTAGATTTTTTACACAATTTTGGCCTCGTTCTTGTTGGTGTATGAGTGAAAAGTCTGAAACTTGTCTGAAATCAAAGGGGTATATTGCGCGGGGTATAAATTTATTTGCTTTTGTGTTGAACAAACTGTCCTAATTCTTGGTGGGTCACTGAAGTTTGTGTTTCCTGCTGTAAATATGGACAAACAGTAATGCGTGGGATTTAGGTGGGCTAGCGTGAGTTATACCTCTGCTCATAAAGAACCCACATTACATTTTTGAATCCTCAAGAAAGTAAACAACTTGCTTAATCTGGTGACCAGTTATCGTAATGCTTCAGATGTTTTTATTCTTACAGTCATCTTGTTGGCCTGGAACAGGGCAGGGAGCTACATTTTGGAGGGCATGAACGAGCTCGCTACACAAGATACCAGTTGCTGGAGCTTAAACAGGTACCTTTGGAATGGTTCTAACTTCTATCGTCTATTTGCTGAGTGCATTCGTTTTGTGTGGGGTGCATGGTTTCATAATGCTCGAGGAAAGTTGGGATATGGAGACTTGTTGCTTCCCCTTATTTTTTGATGCATTCAGCCCTCCAGACTCGTGAAACTGTAGCTCATATATAGTATGCTTGGCCTTATGCTCAGTTGGGAAGTATCCTTGTGGATATTATTGAGATAAAGTGCTTGAGGTCGAATTATTTAGTGATGATCAAACACGGGGCCATGCAGCTCCGAATGTAAGTTGCTCAAATTGTTGTTTTTCTTGTCGTGATGGTACAAGTATTCACAGTTGCTCTGAATGTTTGAGTTTCTGTCCTATAAGTAGTTTGTATTTGTTTTTGTAACTCCTATTTTTGTTGCTCAACTTCCCTTAGATGCAACCTCAACTCCAAAATCACTTCCGAGTCTGTCAACCATGAATGGCATGGGAGGTCAGCAGCAACACCTGTTCGTGAGAAGTCTTGGGAGGCAGTGCGAGAAAGGAAAGAGTTTTCTAATGGATACAAGTCAAGGATTCCGGTAAATGCTCAGAGCTAATATCAGTATCACCTGGGGGTAAATATTTTAATCGATCTTAAGTTATATTTCCTCTACAAAAAAAGAGATCCAAATTAACAATGAGAAAATCAATTGTTATCCATGATGTTATCCTTCCTATTTGTTTGTATGTATTATTTCCTTATTTGTCATAAATCCATAACTTTAAACTTGTGGGGTGAACCAATATGGATATATCTTTATCAACTTCTCACAGACTTCTAGACCAGCTCTTACCATGGTTTTATGAAATAGCTAGGACCTACTCTTTCTCTTGTTAAAGCTGAAGTGTCGTGGTTAGCTCAAAGATGGACCTTATCTGACAAGGACTATCTTGAAAACAGTGAAGGGGTAACTTATCTTAGATGACAGTCCTGAGTTCACTGCAAAAAATAGCAATGAATATGCACACACGGATTCTTGATAATTTAAAAATAAGGAAGCTGCATCCTGTGGCATTTTTTGGACTACTGTTATCTACTTTACAGCATACCGAACAAGTTGACTCCGGAAAATTTTGATGTTCTTAAGAGCCAAATGATTGACTCTGGAATTACAACTCCTGAAATTTTGAAGGCAAACTATTCCATGTCAAATGAGTCATCATGGATTGGATGCAATAATTTGTTCTTCTACTTGTTTATTGAACTTTACTATCTGTATTTCAGGATGTTATCTCATTGATCTTTGACACTTGCAAGATATCACATTGCAACTGTCCTCATGTATCATAGACGCAAGTGTGGTTCGTGGTCAGAGATGTCGTCGATCTGAGAACAAACAAATGAGTCCATAGACGTTATTAGGTCAGTTCAAATTACACATCGCCTGTTTCCTAATGTAAAATGGAATTTCTCGCCATGTTAGAGATACTTTTTTGAAATCTTTAGGTAAATTTGGGACACTAACATCTTATGTTTTTTGCAGGAGAAAGCCAAAACTATAACTGAAATCCACCCTGACGCAGAGAAGAACCTTGGATTGCGAGCTGGGACAACTGAATATATTAAGAATATTAGGACTGCACTTGCAGCAAAAGATGGTGCCAGAAAAGCTCACCATGAATTGAGCCGGTGGTGAAAGCTTCTCAATCACTTGCTCATGAAAAATGTCTTCTCAGCTGGAGATATTGGGGCTGGATGTCTTCTATATGCCTCAATGTTAGATGACATTGGTATTGATGAGCTGCCAATTGCCCCAAAGTTATTCGGAGGCATCCTCAGTGACTTGTTTGCATCAAGATGTGTCAATTTCAAGGTTCTGTCGTTTGATGCATGTAGAGGTTTTCAGGCAACCCATCTCTGATAATGTCATGAAGACTATAAATGCAAGCCCGGCCGGGCAGGAAGTTTTGGCATCTCTAAGTTCTGATGTCCAGGCTTCCCAAATTCTACTTTCTTAGTTACAACTAACAATACCCACCATAGTTATCAGATCAAGCTACGATTATCTGGAAACCAATGCTTGTAGCCTCCCTTTCTTCTCCCATAGCTTTGTTGTTTCTTTCCTTGGCTTTCATCTCAATTGAGTTTGTGAGCAATTGTGCAGAGGAAATGTCCGCTGAGAGCGAAAGAGGAAAGGGGCAGGTTGAGTTGGGAGCTCTGTAGATTTAGAGATTCTTTATGTGAGTCGTCTGTTTGTTAAGAGTGATATGATAATGACAGCTTTCTGGAAAGTCATTCTGCGCAAAAGTTAGCATCTTTACATACTTTGTGCTTTCGTTTATGGTTCTCTACCCTCTAGCCAAACCAATCCGATCATCAACTTGGAAGGATATGCATCAGCCTAACTTAACATTGTTCGATCATATGCATTATTTGCCCCTTCGATTATTGAAGACGATGATATCAAAATTGTGACATTTGGTACATAAGTTGAAATCATACCTTTCAAGTTTCAACCTTCCACCAAACTGCTTTCTGGGCTGGCATTGTGCTGGCTGGCTGGTGGAGTAGACAAGCGCACAAGAGCCACACCAATTTCCAAACTCGGCCTTTTCACCCTCTTTCATCAGCAAATTCCTCCAAAAGTCCAAACTGAACTCCTCATCTTGTGAAATTACTGCGAATACAAGACAAAGAATATCGTTCAAACTTCAAACTACAACCATCAAGACCAACAGTTCTCTTTTCTTTATAGCGAAGAATCGTCAACAGCAGCAAAATAGTTATATATACTCACTTGTCCTCTCGCTCGGCACGGATAAACAACGGGGGGAAGGATTAGGTTTAGCCGTTTAGGAATAAACAGTTGATTCCAGAAATCCCATCATTGATTGATTCCCCATGTACCTTTCCTTTCCATCTTTTTTTGTATTTTTTAAATCCACCAGAAAGAAGTGAGAAAAAACAAAGAATTCAATGCAAACGTAATCCTCAAGTCTATTTGTCTTCCATCAGGAGAACACTTTTCTTATATAAAAGAAAATTGGTTCATTCCCACCAGTCATCGTGTAGTCGTCTGTCTTCTTTCCTTTCTCTTCCCTTTCCCCCTCATTTCCCGTCTTCCTTTCCCTTTCCCCGCTTGATCGTAATCTGATCCCTCTGTTTGCGAGATTTTATCTCCACTTGATAGATTGACAACCACTTGCTGTTGCGGTTTTGATTTTTTCATTCCTTTCTTCTCTACTCGGCTCGTCTAAATAGGGCAGGCGAGTGTTTGCTTTCCCCCCTCGTTTCTCATAAATTTAGTTTCAAATTTATCATCTGGGTATTTGCTGTGATTGTGGTTAGTTGACATCTTGGAATGAAAATTTTGACCTGAACAGTTGGTAGGGCTAAAAGTTGGTGCCTTTATTCGGTAGGTTCCTTTTTTCTGGAAGGGTTAGACTGAATAACGTTGTTATCAGCATCTGATCTGAATCTTGTGCCATTCAGTTGGTTTTTTTGTTTGAGAAAGCAGTTGCTGTTGCTCTTGAAGTTGGCAAGATAATCTTTCGATCCTGATCTTTGGTTTTCATGTTTTTTTTTATTTTTTTATTTTTATCCCAATCAGTAGCTTCCAGTTAGTATTGTTAACTCTGTGTTTTTTTATTTTAAACAGCCTTAGATTTGTAGGATGCGAGATTACATCCCCCTCTTTTTAGTTATGGTTGTATGTTTTGCAATGAAATGAATGTTGGTGGGTGGGACTAAGGATCGACCAAATTTGTTTGCTGGGAAATTCGGAAGTGTTCACTGAAATTATGTAGGGTAGTCTATGACTCTATGTGTTCCTTCCTCTTTTGTAGAACAATAATGCGCAAGTAGAATGTTATAATTCAACTATCTGAATGTGTTAATAATTTGTCCCTTTTAATATCTTGAATGGAGTTGTTTCATATCCAATCTCTTATTTCTGTTTTCTGTTGGTGATGACAGAGATGGGTATATACCTAAGCTCTCCCAAAACCGAGAAATTCTCGGAGGATGGAGAAAATGGGAAGCTCAGATATGGCTTATCATCCATGCAAGGATGGCGTGCAACCATGGAAGATGCGGTTAGTCACTTATTCTTGAAATTTCGATGTTCAACATACTGAAGTGGTGATAAGAGTGGATAGAGAAAAGTTTCGAACTTTCAGTTTAAGATAATATGTTATGCGAGTTTTGTTTGCTTCACGTTTTGGTTTCGGTATCTCTTTTCAATCTTATCCAGTAGTGACAATGGATACATCTATGTATTTTCCACACAATTTATTTGAAACGTTCTCTGCTGGTTACGCATGCTATCTCACTATTTGACATGGTACTTCTCTCTCTTCACAATGTTCAGCATGCTGCTTTGCCTGATTTGGATACTTCTACTTCATTCTTTGGTGTCTATGATGGCCATGGAGGTAATTTTGAAGTTTTGCAATCTTTGGCACTTAGAGTGTGCTGTACAATTGTGCATCTGGTGCTTGAGGTTGAACAGTCCTACGCTTCTTTGGGTGACTTACAGGTAAAGTGGTTGCAAAATTTTGTGCCAAATTTCTTCATCAGCAGGTTCTTAAGCATGAGGCATACATAGCTGGTGATATAGGAAGTTCTCTCCAGAAATCATTTTTCAGGTTATGGATATTTTCCTTTGATATAGTGATGTATCTAGTGCAGTGTTAGACCAGCTGGAAGCTACTCTTGCATTCTTATTTTGACACTTCTATCCCAGTGTTGCATCAAGATATAAGCAGCCATTTTGTGTAGCTCAACATAAGCACAATGCACTCAGGCATACTGTCAAAACATATGCAGAATATGTTGTTGTTGAATCATGTAATCTCATTCATCTAATGCTTGTGCGTGCAGAAATCTTTAATCTCATTCATGCATTTGTATGTCTTATGGTGGGGTAGGTTATCAACTGTAGAAGAACCCATGTTTGTTTCTTTCAAGGGTGTTGTCTTTTCCTTTTTGTTTGAGAACTTGTATGGGGTTTGTAAAACTATATACACAATTACAAGAACTTTGGGGTTCTTTGGCACTTGCTTTTAGGTCGTTGTTATTTTTCTGTTACGGTCAAAAAATGTTTAATTCTATTTTTACTAGTGCTATTGGAACATCGTATACTAGAGTCCATTTCCGGGTAACCCTGCTCTGGAGCAGTGTTTCCCGTTAGAATATTTATTTTTTTGTGGCTATCTTCTGCACTCCTTGCTGACTTGGTTTCTCTGCAGAATGGATGAGATGATGCGTGGACAAAGAGGATGGAGAGAGTTAGCTGTTTTGGGCGATAAGATAAACAAGTTCAGTGGCATGATTGAAGGGCTGATATGGTCTCCAAGGGCTGGTGAGAATAGTGAGCAACATAATGATTGGGCTTTTGAAGAGGTGTAGTATTTAACCTATTATCACATTCCAGCTTATGATGTAGCTTTTGGTCAAGTATTGTTCAGCCATTTGTTGATATTGGAATCTGGGACTTAGACCCATTGATATTCTTGCCATAGTTTTGTCATGAAAGTCCCTAATGTACATGTGTTCCGTGGAGCATTATTATTGTGTTTACTTATCTGATTCATTATATGAGCATTATTATTGCTCAGGATCATTTGCTGCATCAAACTATGCATGGGTCTTGGATTACCTGCTCAATTTTGCAGGAAATTTGAGATATTCTGATCAGGAACTCATTTAATTTTAATTTGCACAGGGCCCTCATTCTGATTTTTCTGGACCTACCTCTGGTTGCACGGCTTGTGTTGCAGTTATAAGAGATAAACATATTGTTGTTGCAAATGCTGGTGATTCTCGATGCGTGATATCACGGAAGGGACAGGTATTTTTTCCAGTTAACTGATTGGTAATGGACTTGAATAAGTGTTTGGCACTGAAGCTTCAACAGCCTGAGAACCATGTGCTGCTCTGCTAGTATCTGTTCTCCAAATGCCTATGACCTGGGGATGGCAGTGCAATAAGGAGGACTTCACACTTATTGGTGCAGGCATACAATCTTTCCAGAGATCACAAACCTGATCTTGAGGCTGAAAAAGAAAGGATTTTAAAAGCTGGTGGCTTCATACATGCAGGACGTGTCAACGGCAGCTTGAATCTTTCGAGAGCAATTGGTACCTACCCCCCACCCCTCCCCCTCTTTCTTTTTTATTCATAGTTTGCTGTCATTCTGTGACCGTATTTCTGAATACAAATAAACATATATGGTTTCTTCTTATGTTTCTTCAATTGCTCTTCTTTTCGCTCATGCAGGTGACATGGAATTCAAGCAGAACAAGTTCTTACCTTCAGAAAAGCAAATTGTGACAGCCAATCCCGATATTAACACTGTATGCTAGACTCTATGGAATACCTTCCCAATCTTATATTAACTATAGTTTACATTTGGGTTTTTGCACCTCCAGTTGCCATCTCTGTACACTCACATTTGATCATTATTTGACCAGGTTGAGCTTTGTGAGGATGATGATTTTATTGTTCTAGCATGCGATGGAGTATGGTACGAGTCTCTACTATGTTTCTCTTGTCTGCCTTCTGTGATCTTATGCTACTCTCTCGTCTTAATTCTTGGATTTGATTTGGAAATTTTACTACTTCCCAGGGCTACCCTTGTCTAGTAAAATTTTGTGTTTTTTTGTGCAAAATGACGTGCCTCAGTCAAAACGAGCATTTGGCACTGTGGTCAGTTTTTTATCCCCATCCTCGACGGCTCGACCTAACCTAAGGAATAACTTATATAGGTCAATGATTCACATGAGATCTTCAATGGCATCCTGCTTCATCTTCTTTAATGAATTCAGTAGTGAACATGCCCTAAGTCCTTGGGAAATTGCAACAATGAGGCTTATACTTCCGTCACTTTATAGCCGACCCGATTGTGTGTGGATAATAACAGATTGACGATGAATTTAGTGTCCACTGTTCATAACATACAAACATTGCCGTATTCATTTGAAACAACTATTGCTAGGTGTTTTTGAATGCACATAAGAACTGGACCTGGTTTTTTGTTTGCAGGGACTGCTTGTCAAGCCAGCAACTAGTCGACTTCATTCATGAACAACTAAAGTCGGTGAGTACTTCTAGCCCCTGTACTGGGTCCCATACTATTGGGATCACTCTTTGAATGGATATAACCCTCGTTTACCTTCATGATTTTTCCTATAAACAATCTTTTAGCCCTATTCTTACTCATATTTCCCTAATGTGACTCTGGGAATATTCGGCAGGAAGCAAAGCTTTCAACAGTGTGCGAGAGGGTGCTCGACAGGTGTTTAGCACCATCTACAGCAGGGGGTGAGGGATGTGATAATATGACAATGATATTGGTTCAGTTTAAGAAATCTGTTGAGCCGAGTAGTAGCTCTGCTGATGCAGACGAGCAAACCTCTAAAGCCGAAGTTGCTGCTGTTAACCCTCCCGAAACCGTTGTACCTACTAGACCTGTGGGAGCTGAATGAATGAGGTTGCAAGCAGGATGGTGCTTGCTGTTTGTTTGGTAAACTACATTCTCTCGTCGACAATCTGTGCCCTTTGCTTCCCTTTGTAAATACTCAAAGAGACCTTGTTTCTAATCCATGGTACTACTGCTTGGACATTGTGTGCTTACCTTTTTTCGGAACCACATCATCTCTCATTTTAGAAACTCTGTACAGGTCTTGTTGACTGACAGACATTGTTTCCTTCATGGCTGTATACTGGAAGATCTTTTGGAGTTGCATCATGTCTCCACTTGTTGTATTTCCAACTGTTAACTCTTAGATCTATTTTCTTGGGGTCTAAATTGTCAACTTGCTGAATCTGTTTGTTTCAGAATCTTTTTCTTTGTGGGAATGATGATAAACCATATCTCTTCAAGATATAGGCTAATTCCTGCTGAATCTGTTTGTTTGAGCATCTTTTTGCATGTGGAATGAAGATATCCATTTCTATTCCAGATGTATATAAAGGCTTCTTCGAAACTCTACTACACAAAAACAGAGCATAAAACAGGGAAAGAATACTCGGTTTCAACGACATTTGTTTCGTTCATTCCATGGACAGCAGCTCATGAGTTGCCAGGAAATCGTTATGCTCCGTCTTTGGCTTCTTTTTCTTCTTCTTTTGACCTCTTTTACTGCTAATCGAACCATTCAAAGGCATCCTATTTACTGCTTCAGTAATCAATGACTCCCCACCAACATTGGCTCGAATTCGTAGTGGTGGTGACAAAAGTCCTCCTTGCTGCTCTTGTTCATCAGATTGCATCGTCAGCAGATGTGTTTGCCTTTGTCTTAGGAATCTGATGAACATAAAGAGAATTCAAAATGAATACAGAAAACAATCTGTATCGAACCCATAATGACACATTGTCAGATATATACTTACCGGACTTCATCCATAAGCGTCTGCCTCCTCTGTTTGGCAGTCTCGAGCTTCTTCTGCTTCGACGCAAATTCCTGAAAGAGACAGGAAGCAAGTTCAATATTCATAAACAACGGAACCAATGTAGTAACAGGACGAAGATAGACACTAATAAGTAATAACGAATAACCTTCTGCAAGTTCAAGAACTCCTGAAAGAGTACTTTCTGTCTCTCTCTAAACCTAGCTTCCTCGTCGTCGAAAGATTCAGACTGGTACGAAGAAGCGACAGCGACTCTTCTCTTCTTGATATTTGTCTTCATTGTCTCAATTATAACGCGCGACCCTAGAGAATACGAACGGAAAAGAATTAGTCTTGCCGTGAATTGGAGGCAGGAACAGAGGACTCCGAATTGGGATTAGGATCTGAAGGTCTCACAGCGATGGTGGCGAAAAGATGGAGACTTTATGAGAACCCGACGCAGGCATTCTCATCACCTTTCTCTCTGTAATCAGAAAATAACGACCCGAGAGATAATTAGAAGGGAAAAAGTGGGAATTTGGACGAAGGGAACGGGAAATCAGTGTAGAAGGAGGAGAAGGAGGTTTCGGGGGATGGAATTAGAGAGAGAGAGAGAGAGAGGAAGGGGATCTCTGTTCAGTTTTCCCTCCCTCTCCCTCCATTAAAATCGTTAGAGCCCAAGAAAAGGCCCACGGTAAGGGAAGTACAACGTTTTGCCTTTGTTGGCATTGCTGCGGAGGCGCTTCTTTTTTCCTGCAAATGGTTGATTATTGCAACAAATTTCCATTGTCACAATTCACAAAGAATGAAAACTCACAGAGGCTCGGTTTCGATTGTCAGGGCAAGAAGCGATCGAGACTGTATATGATGGAAGTCAAGATCTTGCAACAATTTATGAAATCAGTAGAGAATCGTGACACAATCGGTGGAAACACCTCAGTGAGAAGAGTATTGAGTGAAAGATGTCAAAGCGAACCTGACCAAAAAGAATGTCGCATTTAAAATTGAATCATGCTTATCTAAAGAATTGCATTGCTAGAATTATCACTTCACATATGAGCAAATTCAGGCAAGAAGCCGATGACAACTATATACAGCAACAGAATTATCACTAATTACATCGTCACTGTGCAAACACATCCGAGAGAGCCTGTCACGGGTATAATTTTGAGGTCAGTGGACGAACCATGGACCGAATGGACGAACCATGGACCGAAATTGCACATACTCCATGCCCAGCTCCAACTTCTCACAACTTCTGGGCAGGATGATCCATTAGTTGCATCTGTCCCAGGTAGCTGAAGTCAGCGTCATTCGATCTGTCATCACCTGGCGGTTGTTGCCAATGCTAAATCTCATAGAACTCCATTGGTGGAGTTATATCAGTACAACCATGACAAATTAGTTAAAGTTCAGTGCTCGCTCGCTAACCACTGCAAGATCGATGAAGAGCTTTACGACGTATTAGGAAGCTGAGCAAATGTTCCATCGTTAGGACTGCAGCCGCCAACCATCATCTTCTCATAGACAACATAAGCGAGATCAGAATTCCCAGACACGCTGTAACTCCGGATCAGAGCATTGTAAGTGAACACGTTAGGTTCGAGGCCCACCATTTCCAGCTCCTCATACATCTTCTTTGCTTGTTCCACCATTCCACCAATCCCGAGATACAGAATCAAAGAATTGTATGTGTAGAGATCAGGTTTGAGACCCCTATTTCTCATTTCTTCGAAAAATGCAAGAGCTTCTTCTATCCTACCAGATCTCCCAAGTCCATCTATCATCACGTTGTATGCAATCACATCTGGTTCTAAACCGGTCTGCTTTAATTCCTCGAAGTAGTGCAGAGCTTCATCCACTCTCCCTGCCAAGCAAAGGCTGTCGACTAAAATGGAATAAGTTTTCAAGTCTGGTCTTACTCCTTCTCTTACCATCCTTTGAAACAATTCACAGGCAGTATCCACATCACCAACTTTCTTCCCTAATCCATTCATGAGAATGTTGTACACAGCACAATTAGGCTTGCAACCGTATTCCACCATGTCCTCGAACAGCTGTTTTGCTCTCTCGATTCTCCCAGATTTTAGAAGACCATCTATTAGTGGGCCATAGGTGCAAGGAGTGGGAGAGAAATCACTACCACCACTAATGAGATCATAGAACAAATTCATGGCCTTATCCATGCATTTGGATTTCACAAGGTTGGAGATAACTATGTTGTGGGTTATATCATTTGGCTTGCACCCTTTGTAGATCATCTCTTGATATAGTTTGAAGAGCTCATTAATCTTGCCAGATTTCCCATGAGCATTGAGTAAATTGTTGTAGGTGAATACGTCAGGAGTTAAACCCTGAGCCTTCATTTCCTCAAAAAGATTCCAAGCTGCATCCGAGTTGCGCACTGCAAGCAGAGCAGCAATCAGCCAGTTGTAAGATTTCTTCGTTGGTGCAACTCCCACTTCCTTTGTAAACATTGAAAATACATTTTCAGCTTCCAATGCCTTCCTACGCTTACAGAAAACTTTGATGACAGGAAACAATATGGAGTCATCCAAACAGAGCCTAGCGCTTGCCACCCTTCGAGCAAATGCAATAGATTTCTCTGTCCCGGCTTCAGTTAAAATCCCTTCCATTAAATCTTCCCAGAATGAGCCATCCACCCGTGATCCATGAACAAACTCCTCAACAATCTTGAAAGCCCCCTCAATCTGCTCACACTTTATAATACCAGGAAGCAAGGTGCACAAAGTAATCTGATCTGGCCTAAGAAACTTCTTCATTTGATAGAATACCCAAATCGCATCATTGACTCTATTTTCTTTCACGCAACCATGAATGATGGTATTGAAAGTGAGAACATCACAACCACAATTAACTTCATACATCATCTTCAAGGCTAAATCAACCTCATCATTTTTGCAAAGGCAATCTAGCAGTGTGTTCAAGGTTACTGTATTTGGGGAACACCCTTGTGCCTTCATGCTCTCAAATAAATCAATTGCCTTCTGGACTTTACCTTCTTTTCTCAAACCTGCTAGCAGTGTGTTGTAGGTCACGACAGTAGGTGCAAGTTTCATGTCCTCCATTCTACTGAACATTTCCCACGCCTCATCCACTCGACTCGCTTTGTAAAGCATATCGATCAGAGAATTAATCACCATGACATCAGGTTCACAATGATTTCCCACCATTTCAGACAGTAAATTAATAGCTTCATCCACTTGCCCCACCTTACTGTAGCACTTCATCATCATGTTGTATGTCACTGAATCTGGAGCAAGCCCACTTCTTTTCAACCCATAGAAAATAGCTTTGGCTTCTCCAAGCCTGCCACTTTCAGCCAGGCTGTATAAAGATGCATTACAAGCAACAATGTTAGGAGCAATCCCACTTGTTTTCATTAGGTCAAAGGTCTCGATGGCTCTTCTAGAGTCACCAGATTTCCCATAGTAATCGATGAAAAGGATGTATGTATACGCTGTGGGCTTAACACCTGCATTGTCCATATCCTTAAATATATCTAGTGCAACTGCTAACATGTTCAATCTCAAGAGTCCACAAATCAAAGTGTTGTAAGTATGAAGATTTGGATGAATGTTTTGGTTCCTCATAACATCCAATGTACGAAATGCATCATCAATATTGCCTGATTTGCATAAAGCACTTACCAACACGGTATAAGTAACTACATCAGGGACATAACCATCAGCTTCCATTTCCTTCCAAATCTTTTTTACCATATCCAGGTCCCCACAATCACTGAACTTGTCCAACATAGTGATATAGGTTACCCTGTCGGGCTTGTGACGACTAGCCTTCATCTTTAAGAACAATTCTGCAGCTTTGTCAAGCTTGCCTGCTGTACAAAGAGCATCAATAAGAACTGTATAAGTAACGACATCAGGTCCACAGCCTTCATCATCCATTCTCTTCATAATCCTGCAAGCATCATCGATTTTACCAGCCCTTCCTAGCACTCTAATGCATATGGTGTATGTGTAAACATTTGGTCTCAATCCTATACTCTCCATCTCTTTCAACAAATCCATCACTGCTTCTATGTTCCTTCTCTTCCCCAATGCTACCATAAGAGCGGAATAAGTCTTAAGGCTTGGCTTGAGACCTTCTGAAACCATTCTTCTATACGTCTCTAGCGCTTCTCGACAAAGGCCTGATTGAAGTAGTGAGTAGATCAAGCCATTGTACGAATATGCATTCAAAACAAACCCTGCTTCTTTCATCTTCTCTAGCGCAAATGGTGTTTTCCTGAGCCCACCTCTGATTTGGAGGGCCTTGAAAATAATCAAATATGTATCAACGCTCCGCCTTATGATCTGCTTCTGCATCAAATCAAACACGGTGACCATGTCTGCGACCCTTCCGTGACCCCTCAAGAGCTCAAGCATTTGATTACATGTTTCAGTGGTGTGAACAACATTAGGAAACTTCGAAACCCAATTGAAGTAGGAGAAAGCAGTAGTCAAGTCTGAAGTTGAACCAAGAAAGGTTACGACGTCCTCAGAGGATACCCGATTCCCAAGTTTCCCTGTCACAGCCGCCTCAAGGGGTTGGCTTTCTGCCGCAAACACACGTAAACCCAATTTCCGTTTCCTGAGTTTCTTTCCATTTGCCAGATACCCAGATGACGAGAACCTCAAATTTGCAACCTTTACACTCCCTAAAGACACTTCACTACAGCTCAAAGGAGAAAATTTAATGTGCTCTGTGAGCGCAAGAGTATAATTGAGAGTGCCGCAGCATACAGTAGAAGAGCATAGTATTAGCACGGCCATAGAGAACGATTACCAGTGAAAGCAGACAAGATATTTTGCGTCACAGGTGCTCGACGAATTGACCGAGAGAGAACAACCAAGTGCAGAGGGAACAAATGGTTTCCATTCGCCGCAGAACGCCTAGGAGTTGAGTGGAGGGAGAACTGGACGTTATGGCCGGGGAATCGAGGTGGTACACCGGCTCCGGCGGAAGGATATGGCAGTGGAAGGCCCTAGGGAGGTTATCCGGTTGATGGAAAAGAAACGACATTTCGGCGCCAAGTACTGATATTTTTCAGATTTTTTTGTTCAGTAAAATTATCTTTTCCTTAGAGCAACAATTAAGGTGAGTGATAGCAACCTAGTTAAACTACTCACAAGGTAGGTAAGTTGTAGGGATGGGCGTTCGGTTGGTTCGGTTTGAACCGAACCGAACTAGTATATGTCGATTTTCCGAAATTAGTAATACTCCAACCGAATTCGAATCGAGCTATATTTCGGTTCGGTTCGGATTTTCCACCAAATATAACTCGGTTCGAATTCGAAATCATATGTGAGTCTCCTCCTCTCTTTCCATCACTTCATCACAATAACACATCCACACAAAACAAATATCCAAACCAGCCATAATAATATCCGTTCACCATAACAAATATCTTCTAAGACCAATATCTAGTCAGCCAATAATTAATATCCTCACCATAGAGACTAATACCCACCTCACCTCACACAGACTAATATCCGACAATCGTAGACAAATACCCACGACGAACAGATTAATATCTGACTATCGCAGACAAATACCCACGACGAACATATTAATATCTGACAATCGCAGAGTAATACCAACTACACATATCCGAACCACCTAAACTAATCTCCATTCATTGCAAACAAATATTATTGTTTCATGGGCCAAAGGCTCATGGGCCCTCGGCAGGCAGCCCTAACTAAGGTTGCAAGCCTTATGCGTTAGGATTTGATAGTGTATTTAGTTTTGATGGAAGACACAATATCCATTACTTCGCAAACTAATATCCATCGCATGAACATCATTATATCCTATCATCACATACTAATATCAGTACATTAAAAAACAATCTACCACTGACCAATATCCATTAAAAAAAAGGATTTGATAGTGTATTTAGTTTTGATGGAATACACAATATCTATTACTTCGCAAACTAATATCCATCGCATGAACATCATTATATCCTATCATCACATACTAATATCAGTACATAAAAAAATAATTTATCACTGACCAATATCCATTAAAAAAAAAGAAATAAGAGAGAGAAAGAGGGTTAGAGAGTTAAAGGTGGTTGGGAATTTAATGGGCCATCACTTCTCCTATTTGTTTACCGTTTTCTTTGTCTTTGTGAGTATCTACTCACAACTTACCTTGTGAGTAGTTTAACTTTTTCGAAGTGATAGTGTGTTTCTTCTAGTTTGTTAGCGATAAATCTTCCAAACCCAACATTCACAAGGAGTAAGTAAAAATTCACAAGGCATGTAAAGTTTTGTTAATGTTTTTTTTAATAGTTAATATGATATGATTTTGAAGTACGATTATTCTACGTATTGAAACTTGTGAATGTTAAAGAACTTGAGTTTTTTTCTTTTTCCCCGCTAATGTTATGTTCTCTTTTGACGCTTCTCTGCCGCGTATAAAAAGTTAAATTTATGACACTTAACAAAAAAAAAAAATCTATAGGAATATGTTATGATAATATGAGATGGTTAGTAACCGATGAGGATGCCATTAGTAATTCTTTTAATGATAGATCGATATTGAATTGATAAATAATAATTAACGACATTAATATCATTTACCACATCAATTTGTAATGGTTGTGCTTTACAATAATTTTTCTATAATAACTATTTTGCCTTTTTTGTGACCAATATTTTTAATCTATTTGATTTTGTTGTTCATTAGCCACATGATGTAATCAAAAGTCGAGCATACATGCGATGATCTTTATGCATGAATAGTCGGAGATGAAAGACTTGCATTAGACAACCTAATTACATTATAAACTATAATGTCATCACTACATTAGGAAAAACCCAACTAATCCCTCACGTAAAGTTTGTAATAACCGATGCTCTTGATAAAGTATCACACAATAAAAAAAACTTGCGTAGTATGTGGTAAGTACATGCTAATGTCGTTAGATCTTTTAATATATTCTCCAACTCTCAATTGATTTGTTAGTAAACATTTTTATTGAATTTTCTTTATAACATATGTTACTTCTTATTTTTTGACGCACCTTATAGTTCATAATAACTTTTTGCGGTCGATATAGTGTAAATTTTCTAGGATGATCGATTTGTTAGTAAACATTTTTATTGATTTTTCTTTATAATATATTTTACTTTTTATTTTTTGACGCACGTTATAGACTTATAGTCCATAATAACTTCTTGTAAGAGAAACGTAAACCCTCGACCAATGGTGTCAGTGAGTGTCATCATTACCAAACGCACCTTATGTTACGCCGTTGTTAAGCTCTATATAAAGGCCGCCATTACCAAACGCATCCCGTCTTTTGCTTACCCGATTATAAACCTCAGTATTTGCAGACCGGCAAAAAGGACAAACCCTAAAGCATCTCTCTCTGAGAAATTAGAGAACGTCTTCTTCACTTAGTTATTGAGCGAAAGGTTCGAAACTTGTTCGTGTTTGCGGCCGAAAACCCCAGAATGGGAGACACCGATATGAGTGCGATAATCCCAGATTCAGCGATGGACTCAGTGAAGACTACCTTAGCCAACTTGGAAGAAGTGGAGACGAACCTGCTTCAGTTCCTGTCCCTCACTGATAATGATGCTATTTCCGAGTTGCCTCCTCTCGAAAGGGCTCAGGCCCTGTTAATGGTTGCCAAGGCCACAACCATTCTCTTTGCATGTATGTATCCCTCTCTAAAGTTCGTCCTTTTCTTGTTTGTTTGCCATTTTCATTGAGATTCACAATTGGGTTTGTAATTGCGGAGTTCGGATTTGAATTTGTGCAACTTTCAGTGAGATTGAGGTGCAATGGACTTCACCCAGACGACCATCCAGTCAAGGGCGAGCTCGTATGCCTCCGAATACATAATGTTTTGCTTTCCTTTCGTTACTTTTCCATTCAATTTCTGACAATTCTTGTGTGTGGCGCATGGTGATGGCGATTTCTGTCGTCTGTGTATCTGAATCTGTTACCTTTTTCATAATTCGGGTGTTATGTTTGGAGAGATCTTGGTTCTTGAATGTGCTTCTTGTTCTTGATGAATCAGAATGGCCAAAGTTGATGCATTTAACAAGTATCTTGTGCTACGATCTTGTTTATGCAGGAAAGACTGAACTTGTATGAACAGAAGTTGGACCGTATGATGAATTTGAGCAAAGGTGCTTGTCTTTCTTCTCTTTTTGTTTCTCTGTAGAAGGCAATGGTTGCTGAATTCGAATGGATGATTCCTCTTTTGTTTTGTGCTATTGGTTCATGTCTTATTTCCTTTGTTCATGATGTGGGTTGTATTTGTTCATGAAGCCCCATTACGACGATCCACCACCTTGAATTACCAGGCTGCCACCCGCTTCATTGAACATTCTTTGCCTGACCTTACTTCTGGTAGGTGTTGTTCCCCCTTCTTTGTGGTGGCATTACTTGCTCTGTCCATTTCATACATTGAGTGAGTTATGCTCAAATTTGGCTGCAGAACAAAGGAAAAACATGAGAGATATCAGTAGAGGAGAAGGGCACAGGATGAACTATGAGACAAGCTTGCCGAAGAAGAGAAAGTATCCTTCATCTGAATCTGTGCAAGCTGCTGCCAAAGAATTCTTGGAGAAAGCTGCCCGTGAGATTGTTGGAGGGCAAGCAGGTAGCTTCAAAGGTCCCATACAAATTGACAGTGACACAGCAGATGAGGAAGAAGCACCTGGGGCCTAATTTCATGATATGTTCTGGTAATTTGTGCAAATACTCTTAGCGAGACCTCAGTTTCATGTTCAGCTTTACTCGTTGATTGTTTGAACTTGTGATTTATTGCGAATAGAATTGCCAAGCTGGTCTGAAACCATCAAATATTTTCAACTTTGGTAAATCCTGCAAAAGTGGAAGAATCTAATCTCTTTCCATCTTTACGTTACCTAGCGTTTGTTAGAGATTCTCTTTATTTGATAACTGGTGGTTGAATTCCATAAAGAGAAGGAACGCCAAACAAGATATGTGCTTAGGGCTTCACTTTATAGTAAGATTACAAAACTTATGCATGTGTCAAGTATTGGGGATATGTTCTGAAACTTCCTCGGGGGGCACGTGTGTCGGAAGTATTGCTTCTTCAGGAGCAATAGCATCATCATAATCTGTGAAAATGATTGTTCCAAATAGTGTAGAAACTAATATAGGTTATTTACTAGTAGTGTCAAGTCAAGTCTAGGCTTCAAAGCCCTGTAAGTTGATTGGGGAGCCTGTGGTCTCTTTGTCCATCTCCTTTCTGTACTTGCTCCGTCTTAGACAGCATGTCAAGAGTCTTCCCATAAAGCTCGGGTGGAATGATATCTTTTAAAGTCGTATTATAAGGAGAGATAGGAGATAGTAATTTCCTGATGGATAAGGAAAGAATATAACTGATATATCTGTACTTCTTTTGATATAAATGACGTATGAATGTTAATCTTTCATATTTCTTCTATAGAATCTGCATGCTAGCAGTTACCTTTGGACGTAGAACGTAACTAGTTGCTGCGGTTCTTTTATTTATTTAACACTCTGTTAATTGTGAACTGTGTATGATGCTCAACCCTTTGTTAAACACTCACAGAGATAGATGTGCATTAATATGTTGAATGGAGTTCGTGGTGTGTGTCTTCATGTGGCTCTACTAGTTTATGATCCATCGTTGGTTCTGTTGAGATAGTAATTTCCTGATGTACAAGGAAAGAATATAACTGATATATCTGTCCTTCTTTTGATACAAATGACGAAGGAATGTTAATCTTTCATAGAGTCTGCATGCTAGCACTTACCTTTGGACGTAGAACGCAACTAGTTGGTGCAGTTCTTTTATTTATCTCACACTCTGTTAATTGTGAACTGTGTACGATGCTCAACTCTTTGTTAAACTTTCACAGAGATGGATGTGCATTAATATGTTGAATGAAGTTCGTGTTGTGTGCCTTCATGTGGATCTACTAGTTTCTGATCTGTCGTTGGTTCTGTTAAAATAGGTGTTTCTGTAATACCTCCTGTTGAAGTTGATGGCCTGAATTTTTTCAGTTTGAAAACTGGAAAGCCGTAGTATGATGCCAATTCTGAAGTGTTCTACAAGACTACAACCCATGCTATGATTCTACCATAGCCATAGCCGTAGCGAACTTGCTTAATATTGCTCGACTTTCCGTTGCGATTAACTGTTTAACTAACCTGATCCTTAGTAGTGTTTCTAACATGCTCCTTGGTATATACGTTTGCAGGAATTGTCTGGGCCGAACTGATTTGCTGGCATGATTGGGTGGACAAGTTGCCTTCTTGGATCTTATGTTGCTCTTGATAATGACTGGTGTATGGCAGTGTAGATTGTCTGGTTATTACCTTCTCCTGGGGGTGTTGCAGAAAGCAGTTGGAGGATGACCGCCCCGTGAAACGAGAAGCCCTTTCGAAGTTCAACTGGCATAGAGATTGTGCCTTGTTTCCTATATCTGAACTGTATTTCTCTAGTTAGTACAATTGCTCTATGCTCCTTGATAGCTAGTTTCTATGTTATCTAGTATGGCTGTTTGTAGAGGAAATTGTATTTGTATGGCATGTTTTGTGATTGCCTTCAACTTGAGATGGCCCTAGTATGCTTCAATATCATACACCATTCCATTTCTAAAAAAAAAAAAAAAAAAAAAAAAAAAAAACCGTGGGCTGTCCTCTCCTCTCCCTACGACTGGCGGTTTCCATCAGTGCTCGCCGCCGTGCGACATGCCTCCGCCTCCGAAGCGGTTAGGCTCCCTTATGGGTCTTTCAATCGACCATTTAAGGCATCGATTGCAATATGCTGATTCCCTGTTACACCGCCAGCTTCCCCTTGCATTCATTCTCATCCTCCGCGCGATCCCTAACTTTCGAATTCCGATTGCGGCTGAGCTTATCGCTATCTACAATGATGCGATTATTGCTGCTGCGGAGGAGAGGGCAGAACTCTCTCTGCTGGGGAAGATTCATGGCCCCGCCCCGTCCGTTGGTAGTCTGCAGAGCTTATTGGTGGACCTCTGGAATTGTAATGGATCACTGACTGTTTTGCCGGTGGAAGAGGGTCTTACCCAGTTCATCTTCTCTGATGCCGCTGACCTTGCCCACGTCCGCGAAAAATCCCCATGGATTCAGCCTCGCTTCCTGATCCATCTTCGCCCCTCCTGTTCTCCTCATGGTAAAGGAAACCGTACCGGACATCATACCGGATTCCTTTCTGGTATGGTATTTTGTGGTACGACCGTGGTTCAACCGTTTTGTACCGGTAAATACCGTTTTTCACTATTGATAGAGAAATGAAAAGGCACCAATGGAAACAGGCTAGGAAGATGATAATCAGGAGCGGGGACCACCTACTGAGGTTCAAAATAATGAAGAGATAAGGAGGGAGGAGACACTGATGGGAAAGAAGGCAATGAAGGAACGAAGACATGGACCGGGCAGAGAGGGAGCAGTGAAACAATTAACTGCTAGTCACGGTAAAGAACAAACACAGAGGAGAACGGGAGGGAAGGTCTGGAAAAGGCAGGAAAAAGAAAGAAGTAGGGGAACTAACCCTCCCCAGCTCACCCCACAGAAGAGGGGGATAAACCCGTTAGAAGAGGATGATACACAGGGGGTAATTGGAGGGAAAAGCCAAAAAAAGGCGAAGAACCTAAGTTTTCCTGTACCAGCAGATGCAGAGAAATTTGAACACAACAAAATGATGGTTGGCGATGCGGCGGACCCTGAAGGCACTCAGGGCCGCCCAGCCCAATGAGTATTCTTAGTTACAACTGTCGGGGGCTCGGGAATACCCCGACAGTTGAAAAGGTTAAGACGTTATTACGTCAAACCAATCCCGAGGTGGTCTTTTTGATGGAAACGAGGCAGTATGAGAAAGAATGGAAACAGAAAATAAAGGAATTTGGTTACTATGATGGTCAGGGGGTAGCAGCAGGGGAAAATAGAGCGGGAGGTCTCCTCCTAATGTGGAAAGAGGAAGTGACTGTTGAAATCAAGAACTATTCAAGAAATTACATTGACACAAAGGTTAAGTGGGTGAACTCGCAAAGAGAATGGCGCTTGACAGGCATATATGGCTGGCCAGAGACAAAAAACAAGCACAGGACATGTGAATTACTAAAAGAACTTTACCACCGAGTTCACATGCCCTGGATGGTGGTTGGAGATTTCAACCTAATAACTGACTTTATGGAGAAGAAGGGCAATCATGGCCCGGAGATGAGGGAGATGGATATGTTCAGGCAAGCCCTTGACTACTGTGGATTAGAGGATTGTGGTTTTTACGGAAGACCTTTCACCTGGGAAAACAACAAGATCGACGGTGATTACACGGAAGAAAGGCTGGACAGGGCAATGGGTAACAAAGATTGGCTGGATGGCTTTCCTAATATGCGGGTCTATCATCTGGATCAGTGTGGATCTGATCACATTCCGATACAAGTCAAGTTGGATTTAGAAGAAGAGGAAATTACCTGGGGTTGGAGCTTCCGATATGAGCCATATTGGGAAAGGCATGAAGACTGCAAAGCAGTAATTGAGGAGGGCTGGAGGACGCAGGGTCCGGTCAGTATCATGGATAGGGTACAAAGCTGCAGAGACAAACTTCAGACCTGGAGCTCTGAGGCTTTTGGAACCCTGAAACAAAGAAGAAAACAAGCAGAGAAAGCATTGAGAATTCTGGAAAAGAGGAAACGGTCAAAGGCTGTTCTATTACAGAGGAGAGTTTTAGAAAGAGAACTAAATGAGATTCTCTTGCATGAGGAAATCAAATGGAAGCAGAGGTCCAGGGAAGATTGGCTTAAAGAAGGGGACCAAAACACGGGTTATTTTCACCGAAAAGCTTCTGAGAGGAGACGAAGGAATACAATCAGGAAACTAAAAGATGAAAATGGTCAAATTTTTGCAGGACAGCAAGAGGTTACTAGCTGCCTAGTCACTTCCCTAAAGAATCTCTTTACAGCGGGAGTCAGACCAAATAACAGCAAAGTTCTGGAAGCAGTAACAACAAAAGTAACCCCGGAGATGAACCAGGAGCTCCTCATGCCCTTTACTGATGAGGAAATTTGGTATGCATTAAAGCACATGGGGCCGAACAAGGCCCCGGGATCAGATGGCCTGCCAGCTAGATTTTTCCAAAAGAATTGGGCTGTTGTAGGGCCAGCCGTAAAGGAGGAGCTGAGAAACTATCTAGAGAATGGGGAATTTCCACCTGAACTTAACCACACCCTAATAGCTTTGATTCCAAAAGTAAAAAACCCCATGACTCCTTCGGAATTCATGCCTATTAGCCTGTGCAAGGTCTTGTACAAGGTCATGTCCAAAGTCCTTGCAAACAGGCTGAAAAAAGTGCTTGATAAGGTTATTGGAGAAGCACAAAGTGCTTTTGTGCCTGGAAGACTCATAACGGATAACGTTCTGATTGCTTTTGAATGCTTCCATGCGATGAAGCAGAAAAAGAAGGCAAAGAAGGGGCTGATGGCAGTAAAATTGGACAAATCTAAAGCCTATGATAGGGTGGAGTGGTCCTTTTTGCAGGATATAATGAAGAAACTGGGTTTTGAGGATCGGTGGATCAAGCTAATTATGAGTTGCATCACAACTGTCTCTTATTCGGTGCTAGTTAACGGTCATCAGTCTGAAACATTCACCCCGGAAAGAGGTTTGAGACAGGGAGACCCCATCTCTCCTTACCTTTTCCTGATGTGTGTTGAAGGGCTGTCTGCTCTTACAGACAAAGCAGTTACTGAAGGGAAGCTACATGGTCTAAAAGCCTCGGTGAGAGGTCCCTCTATCTCTCACTTGCTTTTTGCAGATGACAGCATATTTTTCCTGAGAGCAACTACTCAAGAATGCCAACAACTGAAAGAGATCCTAAAGCACTATGAGGAGGATTCTGGTCAGATGGTGAATATTCAGAAATCAAAAATCAGTTTCAGCCCTAGTGTTCAAACTGAGCACCGAATGCTACTGGCCAACTGCTTAGGAATGAAGCAAGTGGAGAATCACACCAAATACCTGGGTCTGCCTACGGTAATAGGTAGAGAAAAAAGAGCAGTTTTTGATGTCTTAATTGACAAAGTAAGAAAGAGAATCGAGCATTGGAAGGGGAAAACTCTTTCTGCGGCTGGAAGGGCAGTGTTGATAAAAGCAGTAGCACAATCCCAAGCTACTTATACTATGTCAGTGTTCCAGGTACCTAATGGAGTTCTGGACGAGATAAGAAAGGCCATTTCGAGTTTTTGGTGGGGGCAGCAAAAGGCAGAGCGTAGAATTCATTGGAGAGCTTGGAGGAAAGTGTGCCAACCAAAAGAGGAAGGTGGAATGGGGTTTCGAGACCTTAAAGCGTTTAACCTTGCTCTACTAGGGAAACAAGTCTGGAATCTTTACACCAATCCAGAATCCCTGGTAGCTAAATTGCTAAAGGCTAAGTATTACCCCAATTCCAATATCCTACAGGCTAGTGTGGGATACAATCCGAGTTATACATGGAGAAGTATAATGGCAGCACAACAGCTGGTTAAGAAAGGCCTGAGATGGAGGATAGGGGATGGATCACAGGTGAATATCTGGGAGGAGAAATGGATTGCAGGCGGGGAGGATTCTGACTTTCGGGTCACAACACCACCACCGTCAACAGGGGAGATAGCAACAGTGGCCAACCTGATCGATCATGAAACCAGAACCTGGAAAAGCAACCTTCTCCAACACTATTTCAACCCTGAGGACCGAAGGAGAATAGCCGGGATCCCAATTCCAAGACAACCGGCAGCAGATAAACAAGTTTGGGGCAAGGAAAAGAGTGGAATTTACTCTGTGAAGTCGGCCTACAAACTTGCCACAAAGGGGCTTGCCATCACCCATGAGGGCGAAGTTGCAGAGGGGATTTTGGCAGAAGAAATGGGAGAAATTGAAACATACGACCCTATGAACTGGAAGAGGATGTGGAACCTCAGGGTTCCCCCCAAGGTAAAGATCTTCCTCTGGAAAACAGTACATAACATCCTACCTACTGGGAAAAACATTGAAGGGCGAATAAAGGACGCGGCAACGGAGTGCCCGTTTTGCTACCTAGAAGAAACTCAAAACCATATATTCAGGGAATGCCAATGGGCTATAAGGGTCTGGAGGTCCTCTACGTCTAGATCCCTCTTTGAAGAAGAGCCTGACCTATCGGTTGGGAGTTGGCTGTGCGAGGTAATGGAAAAGGTTGATGATGATATTCTGGCTCAGTTAGGGATGTTGCTATGGACAATGTGGAATGAGAGAAACAACCAAATGTTTAACAACAAGAAGGCGGAGGAGTGGGAGATTGTTCAAAAGGCGGTAAATTTCTGGGAAGAGTATACTGATTATCACCGACAAGCAACCGCAGAAAGAGAAGAGAAGCAACGCACCTGGGAAAGGCCACCGCCAGGCTGGATTAAGATAAATGTTGACGCGGCGGTCTTGAAGGAAGGAGGAACGAGATTAGGAGCTGTAGCGCGCGATTCGTCGGGTAATTTCGTCATGGCGGCAGTCCGCAGAGAACGCATCGCGTGGTCGCCGGAGCTGGCTGAGCTCCGAGCAATTGAATTCGGGCTGGAAATGGCGGAGAATGAGGGAATCGCCGCGGTGGTGGTGGAGTCGGATTGCCAAAATGCAATTCTCAAGCTCCAGAAAGAAGAAGTGTCGATCTTGGAGACAGGTGTGTGGGTGAAGGAACTTCAGGATAAGGCGACTCGACTCGGTTCGGTTGAGTGGAGGTTCGAGCGAAGAGAAGGAAACCAGGCAGCACATGTTTTAGCCCACGTCAGATGTAACTGGGAGACCCAAGAGAAATGGGCTGTCAGACCCCCAATTATCATTATGGACTTGTTAGCAAATGAGGCTTTAGCCACTTAATAATATTACAGGAACTTCTCATAAAAAAAAAAAAAAAAGAAATGCAATAGTATAAAAAATATAATCCATCAAAAAAATAACCAAATAGAGCATTATACAACCACGGTGACCCATTTTCAACATAGAAAAATAGCAAAATAATACTCTTTTTTAATTATTTTCCACATATTGAACGAGAATACGGAGAAATGAAGCTGAATCATAGACCAGGAAACCGGATCGTACCGGCCGGTTCAACCGGTCAAACCGGCCGGCACGGTAAAATCAGCACAATCAGCCCACCGTGCCGCTTTTGGTCCAATTTCCGGTTGAACCGGCCGGTACGATCCGGTTTCCTGGTCTATGGTTCTCCTTCGTCAGAGGTTGCTGACTCCCTCTACCAAATTCCCCTTTGGGTGCAATTTTGGAAAGTCCCATCTGCAGGACACACAGTCTTAATGGCCCGATGCCTGGGTTCCACCATGGGTGAGCTGAAAGAAGCGGCTGTTCACGTCGGCCGCAGGACTAGTGGAGTGTATCTCCGGGCAAAAGTAGCGCTTGATATCACCAGGCCTCTGCCTGTTTCCGTTACAGCCTCGCATGAAGACAACAGTAAAGGATTCTTCAAAGCCTCTGTCTTTTATGAGAAATTACCTTTGTTTTGTTTTTGCTGTGGTGTCATAGGCCATACCAGTTCTCGCTGCGAGTTCATCTCTGAGTTTGCTGGGAAGGATCTGCCTTATGGGAAGCATATCCTAGCTTATGACAAGGGCTCCCGAGTGGATGAGCACACTCTGCGGAGGAAGGTTGCGCGTTTTTCTTGGAATCGCCCTGGCTTTGAGAGGCCTCACGGCCATTCTTCCAAATCTGCCGACCGCCCATCCACCCATGACCGGAATACTTCTGGACTGCAGCGCCTATCCTTAGAACCTGCTGCTGCTGGCACTCTATCCTTGCATATTGACTCTCCCTCTCGCAAACGTGCCACTCTCGAAGATGGCGAAATCCCCCCGGCATCCAAAGCTTTGTGCGTGGAGGGTCCAGTCAGGCTCCATTCCAATGTTGTTCCGTCTGTTCAGGTGGTGGAAACCGACCTTGATCGGTCCCAATCCAAGATATGAGTATCCTGGCTTGGAATTGTCGAGGATTTGGCAAATCCTTGGCACGTCGGTCCTTATTATCTGCCGTGTATAGTAGGTCACCCATGATTGTTTTTCTGTGTGAGACAAAGTGTCGTGATAGGAAGGTTAAATCGCGTCTTGCTCATCTAGGTTTTTCAGATTCTGTCCTTGTCAGTCTTGTGAACACTTCCGGTGGTATGGTGGTTGGTTGGACCTCGGAAGTGGCCTGTTCAGTTGTGTTTCATTGTTCTGCTTTCTTGGTAGTGGATTGCATCCACCAAGTTTATGGAGTCTTTACTATTGTTTTTGTGCATCTGAGTTGTAATGAGGGGGAACGAATAAATCAATTCAGTGCCATTTCAGATTACCTTTTGCTCTCTCCACTCCTTCCTTTATAATGGGTGATTTTAATTGTCTGTTAGTTTCCTCTGAAAAGTTGGGGGGGCAGACCTCCAACACCTCATTCCTTGTCTATCCTGCAGAACTTTCTTTCCCGTCTTAACTTGCAGGACTTGGGTTTTCTCGACCCTCCATTCACATGGTCCAATCGACGATCCCCTCAAGAACATATCATGGAGCGCCTCGATCGCTGTTTGGCGTCGCCTTCGGCCCTTACTTCTTGGCAAGGTATGCAAATTCACCATCTCTCTGATCTTGGATCTGACCATCGTATGATTTTGCTGCAGCTGCATCCCGCGGCGGCTCGTACGAAGGCAAATTTCCACTTCGATGCACGCTGGATTGATAATCTAGAAGCTCAAGGAATCTTAGAATATGAATGGCATCGTACCTACAGTGGTACCCTTCAATTCCAACTCCATTCCACCTTGAAGTCTTCCCGCCACCACCTTTTCAGCTGGGCCTCTAAAGGAACTTCTAATTCTGCTCGGGCAATTCGCGAGACTCAGGATGCCATCACTTCTCTTCGAACGAATTATCCAATTGATTGGGTAACTATCAATCAATTGGAGCAGCAATTAGCTGAAGCTTACCTCCAGGAAGAACTCTTCTGGCAACAGAAATCCCGAATCACTTACTTAACGGAAGGAGACTCAAATACTCTGTTTTTTCATCTTACGACTTTGCAATGACGTCGTAAGAATAGGATTCTTGCCATCCGCGATGACAATGGTGTTCTCCACTCTGAGGAAGCTGATAAAGGTATGTTAGCGACTCAATTTTTCATTCTCCAATTCACTTCTGAATGCTCAAATGTTCAATCATTTTTAGACTATTTGGGACTGCCGGTTATGATTACTGACGATATGAATGCTTCCCTAACTGCCTCTGTTTCTCGTGAGGATATTCGTTCTGTTGTTTTCAGTATAGGTGGATTCCAGGCCCCTAGTTCAGACGGTTTTACCGGCATTTTCTTCCAATCTTTTTGGGGGCTCGTTGGAGATTCAGTCGTGGCTGCAGTACATGAATTCTTTGTCACCAGCCACCTTTTGCCTAACTTTAACCACACTTGGATCACCTTATTACCTAAAGTCCCAAATGCAGAATCGATGAGGCAAATGCGTCCCATTGGCTTATGTCAGGTATTTTATAAGGTGATTTCGAAGATTCTCACCACTCGCCTAGCTGCTATTCTCCCTCATGTGGTAAGTCCCTTTCAAAATGGTTTCGTCAAGGGTCGGTTAATCTCTGATAGCATTCTTATCGGGCAGGAAGTGTTGCATTTCCTGAAAACTAAGACCGTTGGCCAAGAGAAGTGGATGGCTTTAAAATTGGATATGGAGAAAGCTTACGATCGGGTTGAATGGGAATTTTTGTTCTCTCTATTACAACGTCTGGGTTTTTGTGCTCAATGGTTACAATGGATTAAACAATGTGTCACTACTGTGTCTTTCTCGGTCTTGATTAATGGCAGCCCGCACGGTTTCTTTCATCCGGAATGTGGTATTCGCCAAGGAGATCCCCTATCTCCTCTGCTTTTTGCTCTCTATACAGAAGGTTTTTCTCATTTTATTGACCAGGCAATCCAAGCTCAGTTTCTTCATGGGATAAAAGTGCATTGGCGATGTCCGGTGATATCGCATTTATTTTTCGCTGATGACACTTATCTTTTTCTCAAAGCTTCAATCCCGGAATGTCATAACCTCCTCTCTTTGTTTGTCTCTTATCAACAGGTCAGTGGGAAAAAAGTCAATCTTCATAGATCCTCAGTCACTTTTAGCAAAAACACTTCTTCTGATGATGCAGCAGCCATAACCAATTTGTTGGGAGTAGCAGAAAGCACGCTAGAAGATCGCTATTTAGGACTCCTTACTCATATCGCTCGGTCCAAGCAAGCTACCTTTCAATTCATTGAAGATAAGCTAGTCTCTCGGCTTCAACAATGGAAATCCAAGGCACTATCTCTTGCTGCTAAAGAAACCCTCCTGAAGTCCGTTGCCAATGTTTTGCCGAACTATGCTATGCTTAGTTTCCGCATACCATCAACCTTCTGTAGACGAATTAATGGACATTTGGCAAAGTTCTGGTGGGCTCAACAAGATCGAGATGAAGGTATGAAATGGGCATCCTGGCGATCGCTGTGTCGGCCCAAGATCCATGGTGGACTCGGATTTCGAGACTTCGACAGCAATAATATAGCTCTTCTAGCCAAACAAGCATGGCGAATCCTCCATTCTCCGGATTGTGCTTTAGCCGTGTTGTATAAAGCTAAATATTTTCCTCAGAGTTCATTTTTGCAGGCTGTTCAAGGAGCTCGCTCATCCTGGGCCTGGCAAGGCGTACTGCTTGGGCGTGACCTCTTGTTGCAAGGTCTCCGCTGGCTCGTTGGATCCGGCACTCAAATCCACATTACTAATGATTGCTGGCTCCCCACCACGCCTCCTTCTCGTCCCAAGCTATTGCCTCATGCTGTTCTTCCGTCTACACAGGTTTCCTCTCTCATTGACCACTCGAATGGAACTTGGAAAATGGAAATACTGCAGTCTCTTTTTGATGCTGCTACCGTTAAGGTAATCCTTATGATCCCGCTTCCTCAACTCCCTATGGCTGATAAACTTATATGGCATTACGAACCTTCAGGTGAGTACTCTGTAAAGTCTGGTTACCATGTTGCAGCTTCTGAATTTGTGCGTAATCCTTCTACTATTCCTATTATCTTTGATTCTCGGGCTTGGAAAGCTCTTTGGGCCCTCTCTGTTCCTCCTAAATTACGTTTTTTCCTATGGCGGCTAATTAAAGGTTTCTTACCTGTGCGAGATGTCCTTCGGGATAAAGAGCTCATTGAGGAAGATGATGTTGAGGGACTTCTATGTCCTGTTTGTTCTCATCCTAAAGAAACCTTATCTCATTGCTTTTTGGAATGTCGAATCGCGACTGAATTGTGGGAGTTAGCAGGCTTTGGACATTTATTCCACCCTTAAACTCACTTCACGTTGCAATAGGTTGGAGGTTCTTGCTTTTAGATGCAGGCTTATCTCGCGCCGAGGTGACGAGAGTGGTGTTCTTATACTGGAGGATCTGGAAAGGGAGATGCTCATCTACTTATGAACTCATCCAATTCCTTCCGGTCTCTTTGCTGCGACAGTTTAACTGTCAAACTGCGGAATGGTTTTCAGCTCAAGAATCAGGGATTGCAAGACGCCGGCAGCATCTTCCATCATCGACTGCTTTCCGCAACTCAACTCCACCTACTATTCCTTCTGGATTCATGCTTGTTCATTTTGATGGAGCTACTAAGGAATCCTTTGGGGGTGCCATCGGTTTTGTTGGCTTCGCATCTCAGAATGTTGTCTCTTTTGCTTATGGGCGTTCCTACGCGGAAGTTCACGATCCTTTTCTCATTGAACTATTGGCGCTTCGGGATGCCATGCGTTGGTGCCTTTCTCATTCAGTAACTAATGTTCTGTTTTGTGGTGATGCGCAGGTCGTTATCCGGATGGTGTCTGCGAAGGATTCGAATCACGCTTTGGGAGGGGCAATTCTGAACGAGGTTCAGGTGCTGCGGACTTCTCTTGCGCGTGTTTCGTTTCATTTCGCTCCTCGTAAGTATAACAGGGCTGCCCATTCAGTGGCAAAACAGGCCCTCTCATCGATGGTTCAGCGTCTGGTTGACCATCGTTTTGTTCTTGTTTCTTTTCCCTGACCATTTGGTCTTGTATATTTTCGTATCTTGCTATTCCTTCCGGAATATCTTTGGCAAAAAAAAAAAAAAACATAAGAAGCTTTAGTTTCTTTGAGAAGGTGTCATAGCTAGGTTTTCACTTTTCATTGTTCAGCATGCGAACTAGAATCACCTTATAGAACATAACTCGTGAAGTCTCATTCAACTCCAGTATAAGCCCAATGTTAAATCCAGCCCAGAACCCAACCCGCCCAAACCGTCTCCCTCATAGCCGACTGGCCGCCGAATTTTTTTCATGAGAAACTCCCATTCTCTGCGAATCGCGTCGAATTTCTCTACTCCTACACTACCAAATCCCGTAAGCCGCCGCGTCTCCTCTGAAGAAGGCTGAACGTGGTTGCTGTGTCACTTTGTACTCACAATGATATCGCTCAAGGGCATGTCAACTTCCCTTCTCAGCCATAGACGGTTGATCCCTCTAAGACCCTTTTTCATCGCCTCCTTCTCTACACTGGTCGAAAGGTCAACAGGTTCAAGCACTGCTGCTCTAGTTGACTGCCTGATTACAACTTTCGAATTCCCTGAAACCCAAGCCGTCTCCATCGCGGCGCGATTCCTCCGTCGCAAATCTTCCCAAAAGCCCCAAGCTTTGTACGCGTACCTGCGCGACCTCGGTTTCTCTCATGACCACATTCAGTCTACGATCTCTGGGGCACCTCAGATTCTGTTCGGTAATGTGGACAAGAACCTCAAACCCAAGATCGAGCTGTTTCAGAAACTGGGTCTCGAAGGTCCACGTCTTGGTAAGTTTCTCTCTAAGAATGCTGCTGTTTTGACTGCTAGTCTGGAGAAGAGGATGCGTCCTCGACTTCAAATTCTGCGGGATAATTTCTCTGAAAAGGATGTGGTTAGGGCTGCGGAAAGATGCAATTGGATTATTTACAAGTTCCCAGATTCGAGATTGTTGTCAAACATAGCTTTATTGAAAAGCTGTGGCATTGTTGGGTCTCAGCTCTCGATGCTGCTCAGAATGCAGCCTAGGGTTTTTTTGACGAAAGAATCTGAACTTAGAGGCATTGTTTCGAGGACTTTGGATTTTGGGTTTTCAGTGGAATCAAGGATGTTTGTACATGGCTTGTATACCGTCAGTGGCTGGAGCGACGCTACACTTAACCGGAAGTTTGCAATCTTTGAGGGTTTTGGGTTTTCAAGGGGAAAATGCATTGCGATGTTCAGAATAGCTCCGGGCATGATGAGGTTGTCTAGTGAGAAGTTAAGGTTTGGAGTGGATTTCTTTTTGAACACCGTGAAACTGACAAAGGAGGCAGTAGTTCGTAGGCCTGGACTGTTAATGTATAGCATGGAGGAAAGAGTTATTCCTCGATATCGAGTAGTGGAGATTATGGAATCTAAGGGGCTGTTCAAGAAGAAGCCAAACTTTAGCAGTGTTGTGAATTATACAACTGAACAATTTGTCCAAAAGTTTGTATTCATGTACCTAGATCATGCAGAGGAACTGCTAATGGCTCACAATGGTCACAATGTGGATTTGTCTAAAGGTGCAACTTGTGTATAGGTGTCAGTGGTTTGATCTTATCCAGATACTTCACCTGGATGAGGCTCCAAGCTTGTTGCCAAAGCTTTTGATGTAAGGGATTGAGATTTTCATGGTACTGTAACATTAGTACATCGAACTAAGAAAATTGATGTGTGTTCCTTGGTATTATGATTGGGTTGTCTATGATGATCGACTGGGTGCTAGAAACTAATTTGATCATGCGGCGAAGATGACAGCAAGAAAACTTTTGTCGATGCCAGTCAATATTGTTGATGCAATGATTTTGTGACCAGAATGCCACCCACTTCAACATTCTTTGCCTGACCTTATTCCTGGTAGGTGTTTTAGTAGAGGAGAAAGTCGATAAAGAAATATACTGAAACAAGCATGCCAAAGAAGAAAAAGTATCCTTCATCGGATTCTGTGCATGCTGCTACGAAAGAATTCTTGGAGAAAGCTGCCTGTGAGATCGTTGGAGCGTAAGCAGGCAGCTTCAGTGGACCCATACAAATTGACAGTGGCACAACCGATGAGGAAGAAGCACCTGGGGACTAATTTCATCATATGTTCTGGTAAACATCTGCGAATTCTCTTAGCAAGACCTCATGTTGTTCAGCTATACTCCTTGGTTGTTTGAACTTCTTGTGGTTTATGGTGAATGTAAGTGTCAAATTGGTTTGAAACTTTTGAATATTTCAGACTTATGGGAAATCCAGCCAAAGTGGAAGAATCCAATATCTTTCCATCTTTATGTTTCTCTGTGTTTGTCAGAGATGCTCTCTGTTTGATATCTGATGTTTAAATTCCACAAAGAGAGGGAACACCACACGGGATATGTGCTTAGGGCTTCTATTTATAGCAAGCTTGTAAAAACTTATGCATGTGCTGCGATTTTAGATACATTCCGAAACTTACACAGGGAGCACGTGTCGGAAGCATTGCCTCTTCAGGATTAATAACATCAAAATCGGTGAAAACGGTTATTAGAAGTGGTGTAGAAGCTAATGTGGTTTATCTACTAGTAGTGTCAAGTCAACTTGAGGCCTGTATGGTGATTTAGGAGCCTATATTCTATTTGCCCATCTCCTTTCTGTACTTGGTCCTTCTGCTACAGCAAGTCAAGAGTCTATTTGCCCATACCCTTGCTTGATATTGCTCGACTTTCTGTTGCCATTAACTGTTTAGCCAAACCTGGTCCTTAGCTGGTGTTTCTAACATGTTCCATGGTATATACACGTTTCTGGAGTAATCTGGGCCGAATTGATATGCTGGTAACACACTAACACTGGAGTTGACAATTTCTGTCTTGTTCTTGTGTTGCTCAGCTCTTGATAAGCATATGGCAGTGTTGATACTCTAGGTATTATCGTCTCATGATGGTGCTGCAGAAAGCAGTCGGAGGATGACCGTCCTAAGAAACACTTTCGAGGTTCAACTGCCAGAGGGATTGTGCCGTTTTGCGCAGTTTCCATGCTCCTTGATGGCTAGTTTTTCTGTTATTTGCCTATTTGTAGGGGAAATGGCATGGCATGTTATGTGAATACCCTTTCAACTGGAGATAGCCCTCATATGCTTGGAAATATACACCATTTGATGTGGCAGTAAAAAGCAAGATTTCCCGGGTAAGGTTCGATCCTTCGAAGTTGATTTTGTTATTCTTGTGGTCAACATATTATGAGTCCATGTCAACTTATTCGTCATGCAGGAAAGCTCAGAACAGGGTAGCCCCGCGGCTCTATTCGACAAAGTGCGCAAGAAGTTATCCAATATGAGTAGCAACATAGAATGTTGCTAAATATCAATGTTTATGAATCTGGTTGTGATTTTTTTTTTTTTTAGTTTGGTTGGTAATCATTTATATGCTTATTACTAAAGTTCTAATTGATTTCTAGTATGGGGTATCAACGATTTTCTCGTACGAGTAACGATGTTCATGAGTTGTGAATTCGATTACTTAATATGGTTAGTAACTACTTTGAGTGTGGTTCTGAATGGCGTCATTAAAAAGTTTGAACATGCTACGTAACAATGCGGAGCAGAGGTGATACGGATTTTTACGATGTGATTAGGAGAGAGAGATTTTTGTGTTTATTTAAATTTGCAAATTATTTAAGGCGGAAAGTAGTAAACAAAAGGCCAAAAATAGTCATTGCATACTAACAGGGGAGTACAACAATACTATTATCCAAGTATGTGAAACCATATTAAAGGTTTTTTTTTTATGCAAAGGAGTATTGTACTTTGAAAGATTGGTTATAGAGGTGGAAAATAAATACATTTAATCTAAACCAAGATCAAAGCAACTCACGAAAACCGGTTGAAATCAAACTGTGGTTGAAAGGTACATCAAAGATTAGCAAGCCATTTTACCAAAAAAAAAAAAAAAGATTAGCAAGCCAACAAAATGACATCAACCACCCAAACACAATTAAGCTTTTGAACCAGACACAACTGACAACACACTCACAAGCTCTCTTTCTTCCAACCAAACAAAGGTGCAATAAGATCAGCAACAACTTGTCCAATCACAACTAAATACATGACAATTGAGTACAACAATGCCATATGTACCCTCCTGTGGATTGCTCAAATACATCAATCACAGTGAATCTAAAAAACGAGTAGAGAATAACTTCACCATAGACGATGAGACCACCAGACTAGGGCAATCAACCATCACAAGGAGCGAATCAATGTTCCCAACCTGTAATCTCCAGATCCCAAGATGAGCTAGCCTATAACAGGAAACCCAATATAGAACGAAGAGCAACAACTAGACTAGAGAGTGAAAAATGGAAGGCCACAACGACTGGAGAAAGAGAATCAAAACGAAAAGTTCGAGGAAAAATCGCCAAACGCCAATGCAAGAAAAGCGAGAACAAGAAAAGCACAAATAAAGCGAAAGGAGAAGGAAGCGAGCTGCCACCGATCACTCAAAGGGAGCCAGCGGCAGCCTCTGGAGGCGGAAGAGTGGAGCTGGAGTTAAAGAGAAGGGAGAGCAAAAATTAAAATTTAAGGATGCGAGAGAAGGAGTTTACATTTGTTGGTTGTTGTTTCCGTATCGAAGATTATACCGAAAAAACCAGTAGTAGAATATCTTGTAAAATCGGATTCAATAGCTTCCTACCACTAAAATCGCCTATGCCGGTTTCGTGTATTAAGGTTGGACCGAGTGGAGCCGTAGGGTAGGTATGGAAATGGGTCGGGTTGGGGCGGGTTTTGTCAAACCCAAACCCATGGGTTTATCCGCCAAAAAAACCCGGGGTAAAACCCTCTGGGTTTGAAAAACTCAAACCCAACCCAACCCGCTGTGTATCCGCGGGTTCATGGGTACCCGTGGGTTGTTGTGGTAAAAATTTACAATAACAAGTTTCTTTCAAATAAAAGTTTAACATCAATTTTCTCATACAAATTATTCATACAAAAAACACCAATCTAGAGCATACAAGCAAACCCCAAATGATCAATACAAATTGTTCAAAATTAAAGATAAACATCTATAAACAATAAGATTAATTGAAAGTTTCTTCCTCGTTAACTAAGTTTCTTCACTCTCCACTTCATAATATCAACTTCATTCTAAACAATTAGAAAGAACAAATTATACATGTCTCCACAAACATAAAGAATATTAGTTGTTTAAGGAAGATATATTATTTAGAATATGAAATATACCGGGAAAGTAATTATATGTGTGTGGGCGAGTACCCATGGGGCGGGTTTACCTAAACCCAAACCCTACCCGACCCGGTGAATAGTGTAGCGGGTTTAAACCCGAACCCGGCCCAAACCCCGTCAACACGGGTTGGGTCGGGTGGATACCCGTGGGTTCGGGTTTTGTTGCCATCCCTACCGTAGGGTTTCTACTTTCTTGAACATTTCTATCATCTCAAAATCCCTAATCTCCTTTCTTTGCCGCCTCGTCGTAGCCAACCAGAATAAACCCTGGGGTCGGTACAGTCATTGACTCGCTTCTGCTTCGCCTGCTGTTCTAAATAGCCTGCTGCCTGATCGCGACGCCGTTCTTGTTGCTCCGTCAATTGGCCGCGGCGCCAAGTCATATGCTTTTAGCGGCGTGTTCGCCATCCTCCGAAGGTCGTCGTGTCTCCGGGCTAGGATCAGGTGACTAAGAGGGGGGGCCTTAGTCACATGACTAAGTCAATCTCAGCCCTTCCACCTCATTAAAATCGAATGGTTCAGATTAATTCATTTTAATGAAGGGTAATATGGTAATTATATAATTAATTTATTTAACAATTAAAAAAACAATCCAATTCCCCGTCCGCATCCGCGCGCCCGTTTCCTGGGCATTTTCCGGCGACCTGCGCCTCCGTTCCCAGGGCCGTGGGATTAATTTCCCCACCCAAAAAGCTTCTGCCCAAACAAGCTTTTATCCTCCCAACCCAACCCGAGAGAGAGAGAGAGAGAGAGAGAGAGAGAGAGAGAGAGAGATTTTTTTGTTTTTTTTTTCTACTGACCGGAGGAGACTTTTCCGGCGGCCGGAGAAGGTTTTTCCGGCGATAGTGTTGAATTTGTGATGTTTGTCGTTTATTTTGTAATGTTCGTAAACTTTGTTATTTTGTAATGTTTGTGGGTTCTTTTGTAATGTTTGTAAGATTTGTTATTTTTGTGCACCATGTCTATCATTTTTGTCAACCATGTTTGTAATGTTTTTTATGTCTAAAAAACAACCTGGTTAACTTTTGGATGGAACTCCTCTATATAGAGATGAAGCCTCCAAAGTCAACCCGTGTGTTTTTCGAGTTTGTATGAAATTTTGGTCTAATTTGTCATTTTTGTCCACCATGTTTGTATGTCTAAAAAACACCCGGGTTGACCTTGGGAAGGAGCCCCTCTATATAGGAATGGAGCCTCCAAAGTCAACCCGGGTGTTTTTTCAGTTCGTATGGATTGTCGGTCTAGTTTGTCATTTTTGTCCACCATGTTCGTACTGTTTGTATGTCTAAAAAACACCCGGTTTGACTTTGGGAAGGAGCCCCTCTATATAAGGATGGAGCCTCCAAAGTCAACCCGGTTGTTTTTTCTTTTTGTATGGTTTGTATTGTTTGTCGGTCTAGTTTGTGTTGTTTGTACAGTTCATACGTTTGTAATGTTTGTGAATCTGTTTGTATGTTTTGTCGCTCTAGTTTGTACTGTTCGTATGTTTGTATGGTTTGTACTGATTGTAAGTCCGGTTTGTATACTTCGTATTTTTCCATAATACCCAAACTACCCTGTCATTAATTAAATAGCCCTTCCCACTTTTTAACCATCAGATTGATGTGTCCAGATCTAAGGGTTGGGAGGGGCTTAGTCGCACCTGATAGAAACCTACGGTTTCTATTACTCCTACTATTATTATTAGGTTTATTATTATTAAGGTCTTTGAGTTATATTAGGATAGTCTATTAGGTTTTTCGGTCCTTTAGCTATAAATATGTACTTTGGGTCTTTTATTCAATTAAGCAGAAATTAATAGAAAAGTTATCTTCCCCCAAATCCCTAATTTTCTCCTCTCAATCTCGTATTCACCTCAACCTAGGCCGCCGGCTATTCTACTCTTTCTTCCCCAAATTCTCTTCTAAATCCCTAATTCCTACCAATTCCCAATTTTCCATCCAAATCGATAGATCCCTAGAAATAGGTTTCTATCATCTGGTATTAGAGTCCCGTTGCGGATATGAGTTCGTCACAACTCTCAACCGGGGACGGATTCTACATCCTAGTATCGACGATAAGGAGTTTATCACCGCACTTAACCAGAGAAGGAGTGCGACTAGTGTTCGAAGAGATGAATAATTCGATTAGCCGACTCTCTGCGGAGATGCAGAAACAAAAAGAAAAACGTGCCGCCAGAGAGAGCGCACTCGCTCTAGCTTTGGATACAGCAACCGTTGAGCAAATCACGGAGTGGCACCGGCAATTAGCAGAGCGACGGCTAACGGCGGAGGAGATAGTACGAGTCCCCTCGCCTTGGCAACCCAAGTCATCAACCACCACAGTGGCGGCTTCACCACAACCACCAGCGGTGGAAACCACTACCGTTCGTGCTCAATCCCGGCCGATGACAACATCAACATCCGCCAATAGGGTCATGGCAACTTCGTCGGGGGAGACGAATCGAATCACCACCGCCACTGCCGGAGTTGTGGGCGAGCACCCTTCCACAGCAAACTACATCATAGGGATTGGAAAAGTTGCTGAGTGCTTCTCTCAGAAGGCATTCCCGACGAATCCACCGACTTATGGGTGGAAGTTTCGAAAGAAAATGTTTGGGATCAGAAAAGAAGAAACGCGGGCGGTTAGGAGCCCCGAGGTTCACAGATTGTGGGCAGAGCTCCGCCTCGACATAGAGCAACGACGCGGGATGGGGACGACGGGCCGCAGAGTGGAATTGCCCTCGAGAATCGGGCGAGGGGTGCGACGGCAACCTTGTTGTCGGGTGGATGGCTCGCTGACGAAAAGGGAGAGGAAGAAGCAACCATGGATGGACAAGACAACGACGTCGGGCACTGAGGGGGTACAACAGGCGACGAGGTCGAGATCATCTTTCACTAACCAGATGAAGCTCCTGTCGTCGGACAAAAAGTTGAAGAAGGAGGGAGAGACAGATGGGGAGCAGCCCGTGGAGCCAACCGACGAGGCGGCGAAGGGAGGGTCGAACGACCGGCGGATTCATTCAACGGCCTCGCGAATCGAGCAAATAACGCGACGATCCGCGAGGGGCTTCTTCGCATCGACGGCGCAGAGGGAGCAGGAGAAGAAGGCGAGCACGACGGCGCTGGGATCGCCACCCTTTCGCCTGGTGGTTCGGTCATGGAAGCAGGAAGAGGCTGTGAAGAAAACTGGCGGCGCTGTCACTTCTCTTCTCGCAAGCCATGGGTGGTTAACCCTAGGTCGAGCGAACCAACAACCAGGCTGGGTGGGCTGGGCTGCGGTTCGGGTCACCGGATCGGATGGGGCTAGAAGTTGGGCTGGCAGTCCCAAAGAGTCAGCAGAGAAGGGTGTGCATCAAAGGCTGGGCTTTGCTGGGTTTGATCATGTGCAGCGGGCCAATGAAGAATTAGATGTCGGCCCGGCAAGGAAGAGGGAAGCTTGGAGCGAGTTGGGCCAGTGTGATCCGCCGAATGGGCCGCAACTTCAGATGGAACAGGGTGCAAAAGAGCTTAGAAGTAGGCCAATATTAGAGGATCGTGGGCCGAGTCAATTGAGACTTGGGCTGCGAATCTGCTATCTCATTAAGTCTATTTTGCAGGGTAAGGTTGAGCCCACTATGGGCTATGATTTGAAGGAGATGAGTTGGAAAGAAAAAGAAGATGGGCCAAGTTTGGGAGGGATTAAGTCCAACTTGGGCTTTGTCTTGAAGAAGGTAGGTTTGGCGGGAGTTGATTTGATAGATGGGCGTGTAAGTGAGTCAAGTCCACACGAAATTGAAAAGAGGAAGGGAAAGAGGAAGCTAGACGGTCCTGCCTCATTCCGTCAAGCAATTGTGGGTCGAGCCAAAGATGAAGGAGGAGAAGGCCGGGAGAAGCTATGTGTTATTCTTGCCACTAAGTTGATGGAAAAATTCATGGAGTATTACCATGAAGACCCCAAGTTGGAGCAGAAAGTAGAAAGATTCTCTGATTCTTATTTCGTGAATTTCGAAAAGGAAGATGACGAATTGTTCGGCTATGAAGAACGTGACGTGTGTCACGTGATTCGAGATGGGTCAACAAAAGTTGAAGTTATGCGAGAAGAGTTCCTTCGTGGGGTTGAGCGCAATTGGAAGAGAAGGAAACGCAACGCACGAGGAAGCCGACAACTAGCTCTGGCTGAAGCGTAGGTCAAGTCGATCAACCGTGCGGGCAACGTTGGTCTCTAAGCGGGAGGAGATGATAGAAACCGTAGGTTTCTATTACTCCTACTATTATTATTAGGTTTATTATTAATAAGGTCTTTGAGTTATATTAGGATAGTCTATTAGGTTTTTCGGTCCTTTAACTATAAATATGTACTTTGGGTCTTTTGTTCAATTAAGCAGAAATTAATAGAAAAGTTATCTTCCTCCAAATCCCTAATTTTCTCCTCTCAATCTCGTATTCACCTCAACCTAGGCCGCCGGCAAGGTTGTCAACCCGCGGGTTGACCCACTTTGACCCTGACCCGATGAGAAAAACGGGCCGCACACACCCGCCGGGTCGACCGCCATAAGGTATCGGGTTGGAGGTCAAATTGTGTCATTTTTTCTTTGTTTTGCGAAATGCGCCTATTTTTCGATTTTTCTTTTCGCCTAACTCAATCTTTAGAATCAATCTTTGGAATCCTAAGTTGAACATTTGAATATTAATGTTATATAAGTCTGTGTGAATTTTCACTATATGTTGAATCTAAGTACGAAATGTTATTTTGGTGTAATATTATATGTTATAACTCATATGTTAGATGAGATTTGATATAATTTATCAGGATAAGTACAATATAATGACGCTTTCCATATTTCCGGGTTAAACCGGGCTAAACCGGGTGACCCATTAACCCTTGACCCACTAGCTCAACCGGGTCCGGGTCAACCCGCGGATTGACAACCTTGGCCGCCGGCCATTCTACTCTTTCTTCCCCAAATTCTCTTCTAAATCCCTAATTCCTACCAATTCTCAATTATCCATCCAAATCGATAGATCCCTAGAAATAGGTTTCTATCAGCACCCCTAGTCACTGGATCCGCACTACGTGTCTCCTCTGAAGCTGGATTTAGCCATTAGTCACCGAAGGTCGGATCGCCATCGCTCCGTCGTCTGATTCATTGGCGTCAAAAGGCATCATCTTCCTCCGAGGCTGAACCTGGTCGCTGAAGCTCGCGTCGCTGTAGCTCGCGTCGCTGTCATTTTGTACTCACAATGCTAGCGCTGAAGGCACTATCGACTTCCCGTCTCGGAAATCGATGGTTGATTCCGGTGGGGGTTTTCCCCATTTCCCCCTTCTCTGAACTGGCAGGAAGGTCAACAAGCTCAAGCTCTACATGTTTAGTTGACTGTCTGATTACAAAATTCGAATTCCCTGAAACCAAAGCCCTCTCCATCGCTGCTCGAATTCCCCGTCTCAAATCTTCCCAAAAGCCCCTAGCTTTGTTCGCGTTCCTGCGAGGCCTAGGGTTCTCTCTTGACTGTATTCAGTCTACTGTCTCTGGGGCTCCGCAGATTCTCTTCGCTAGCGTTGACAAGAACCTTAAACCCAAGATCGAGCTGTTTCAGAAATTGGGTTTCGAGAGTCCTCGTCTTGTTAAGTTCCTCTCTAAGAATGGTGTTGTGTTTGCTGCTAGTCTGGAGAAGAAGCTGCGTCCTCGAGTTCATATTTTGCTGGAAACTTTCCATCAGAAGGATGTGCTTAGGGCTATTGAAAAATGCAGTTGGCTTGCATTTATGTACCCAAATTCTAGATTGTTGTCGAACGTTGCTTTGTTGCAGGGCTGTGGCATTGTTGGGTCTCAGCTCTCGATGCTGTTGAAGATGCAGCCTAGGTTGTTCATTAGGACAGATTGTCAAGTTAGAGACATTGTTTCGAGGACGTTGGTTTTGGGGTTTTCAGCGGAATCACGGATGTTTATATATGGGCTGTCTGCTGTTAGTGACTTCAGCGTGGCAACACTTGACCGGAAGTTTGCTGTATTCGAGGGTTTTGGGTTTTCAAGGAGTGAATGCATTGCAATGTTCAGAAGATGTCCGACCGTGCTGGGTCGCTGTGATGAGAAGTTAAGTTCTGGCGTGGATTTCTTTTTGAACACCGTGAATCTGACAAAGGAGATGGTGGTCCGTAGTCCTGCACTGTTGATGTATAGCATGGAGGGAAGAGTTATTCCTCGATATCGAGTTTTGAAGACTATGGAATCAAAGTTTCTCTTCAAGAAGAAGCCAAGCTTTAGCTCTGTTATGAGTCTTACAAATGAAAGATTCCTGGAAAAGTTCGTATTCATGTATCCAGAACACGCAGAGGAACTATTAATTGTTTACAATGGTCGCAATGTGGATTCCTCTGCAGATGCAGCTTATTCATAGTTGTCAGTGATTGATTTCATCCAGCCACCTCACCTGGAGACCTTGTTGCAAATGCTTTTGATGCGAAAGATATGTTGGTGATTTGAAATGTTGTTGAGGGTCCATGGTTATTAGAAGAATGGAATGGAATTGCAGATGTAAAGTGATCATCTTGGACATTTTCTATTCATCTTGTGGCGAAGTTGACAGCAAGAAAACCTTTGTGGAGGCCATCAGTATTGCAATGATTTTATCAACAAGTTTACTTACTCATATTGTCCAGAGGATGAAAGGGAGTGGCTGCTGTATAATCTGGATTAGTCTCGTGAGAAGAAATGTATGACCAATCAGTCGACCACCTCCCCTTCCTTGTCTATGTTTTCCCCCCTGTAACTGTAAGGTTTCTAACCACTTATGGATAGTACAAACTACAAATTTGAGCTCAGATGACATGGTCAATTAGGTTAAAATTTTCTTAATGCTGCAATTTCTGATGATGTATGGTATTCATTCAAACATTTCTTATTGAAGCAAGCTTGTTGAGTATGTTATTTCTTGCTAGTGTCACGACCAGATGTTTGCTTCTTTCGAACTCTGGATCCCCATTTGTGCACTTAGCTCATCCAATCCAACCTGGTATCAACTTGTGTATAGGTGTCAGTGGTTTGATCTGATCCAGATACTTCACCTGGATGAGGCTCCAAGCTTGTTGCCAAAGCTTTTGATGTAAGGTATTGCGATTTGAAATGTTGGGCATTTCCTATTTCATGGTCCTGTAACATTAGTACATCGAACTAAGAAAAACAATGTGTGTTCTTGGTATTATGATTGGGTTGTCAATGATGATTGACTGGGTGCTAGAAACTAATTTGATCATGCGGCGAAGATGACAGCAAAAAAACTTTTGTCGATGCCCATCAATATTGTTGATACAATGATTTTGTGACCAGACTGCCACCCACTTCAACATTCTTTGCCTGACCTTATTCCTGGTAGGTGTTTTAGTAGAGGAGAAAGTCGATAAAGAAATATACTGAAACAAGCATGCCAAAGAAATCGGATTCTGTGCATGCTGCTACGAAAGAATTCTTGGAGAAAGCTGCCTGTGAGATCGTTGGAGCGTAAGCAGGCAGCTTCAGTGGACCCATACAAATTGACAGTGGCACAACCGATGAGGAAGAAGCACCTGGGGACTAATTTCATCATATGTTCTGGTAAACATCTGCGAATTCTCTTAGCAAGACCTCATGTTGTTCAGCTATACTCCTTGGTTGTTTGAACTTCTTGTGGTTTATGGTGAATGTAAGTGTCAAATTGGTTTGAAACTTTTGAATATTTCAGACTTATGGGAAATCCAGCCAAAGTGGAAGAATCCAATATCTTTCCATCTTTATGTTTCTCTGTGTTTGTCAGAGATGCTCTCTGTTTGATATCTGATGATTAAATTCCACAAAGAGAGGGAACACCACACGGAATATTTGCTTAGGGCTTCTCTTTATAGCAAGCTTGTAAAAAACTTATGCATGTGATGTGCTTTGAGATACATTCCGAAACTTACACGGGGAGCACGTGTCGGAACTCGGAAGCATTGCCTCTTCAGGATTAATAACATCAAAATCGGTGATAACGATTATTAGAATTGGTGTAGAAGCTAATGTGGTTTATCTACTAGTAGTGTCAAGTCAACTTGAGGCCTCAGAGCCCTGTATGGTGATTTAGGAGCCTTTGGTCTATTTGCCCATCTCCTTTCTGTACTTGGTCCTTCTGCGACAGCAAGTCAAGAGTCTATTTGCCCATACCCTTGCTTGATATTGCTCGACTTTCTGTTGCCATTAACTGTTTAGCCAAACCTGGTCCTTAGCTGGTGTTTCTAACATGTTCCATGGTATATACACGTTTCTGGTGTAATCTGGGCAGAATTGATATGCTGGTAACACACTAACACTGGAGTTGACAATTTCTGTCTTGTTCTTGTGTTGCTCAGCTCTTGATAAGCATATGACAGTGTTGATACTCGGTATTATCGTCTCATGATGGTGCTGCAGAAAGCAGTCGGAGGATGACCGTCCTGAGAAACACTTTCGAGGTTCAACTGCCTGAGTGATTGTGCCGTTTTGCGCAGTTTCCATGCTCCTTGATGGCTAGTTTTTCTGTTATTTGCCTATTTGTAGGGGAAATGGCATGGCATGGCATGGCATGTGAATACCCTTTCAACTAGAGATAGCCCTCATATGCTTGGAAATATACACCAATTTGATGTGGCAGTAAAAAGGAAGATTTCCCGGGTAAGGTTCGATCATTTGAAGTTGATTTTGTTATGCCTGTGGTCAACATATAATGACTCCATGTCAACTTATTCGTCATGCAGGAAAGCTCAGAACAGGGTAGCCCCGCGGCTCTATTCGACAAAGTGCGCAAGAAGTTATCCAATATGAGTAGCAACATAGAATGTTGCTAAATATCAATGTTTATGAATCTGGTTGTGATTTTTTTTTTTAGTTTGGTTGGTAATCATTTATATGCTTATTACTAAAGTTCTAATTGATTTCTAGTATGGGGTGTCAACGATTTTCTCGTACGAGTAACGATGTTCGTGAGTTGTGAATTAGATTACTTAATATGGTTAGTAACTACTTTGAGTGTGGTTCTGAATGGCGTCATTAAAAAGTTTGAACATGCTACGTAACAATGCGGAGCAGAGGTGATACGGATTTTTACGATGTGATTAGGAGAGAGATTTTTGTGTTTATTTAAATTTGCAAATTATTTAAGGCGGAAAGTAGTAAACAAAAGGCCAAAAATAGTCATTGCATACTAACAATGGAGTACAACAATACTATTATCCAAGTATTGTGAAACCGTATCAAAGGTTTTTTTTTATGCAAAAGATTATTGTACTTTGAAAGATCGGTTACAGAGGGGGAAATAAATATATTGAATCTAAACCAAGATCATAGCAACTCAGGAAAACCGGTTGAAATCAAACTGTGGTTGAAAGGTACATCAAAGATTAGCAAGGCAACAAAATGACATCAACCACCAAAACACAGTTAAGCTTTTGAACCAGACACAACTGACAACACACTCACAAGCTCTCTTTCTTCCAACCAAACAAAGGTGCAATAAGATCAGCAACAACTTGTCCAATTACAGTGAAATACATGACAATTGAGTACAACAATGCCATATGTCCCCTCCTGTGGATTGCTCAAATACAACAATTACAGTGAATCTAAAAAAACGAGTAGAGAATAACTTCACCATAGACGATGAGACCACCAGACTAGGGCAATCAACCATCACAAGGAGAGAATCAATGTTCCCAACCTGTAATCTCCAGATCCCAAGATGAGCTAGCCCATAACAGGAAACCCAATATAGAACGAAGAGCAACAACTAGACTAGAGAGTGAAAAATGGAAGGCCACAACTAGGGGTGGGCGTTCGGTCGGTTCGGTTTGAACCGAACCGAACCAGGATATACCGATTTTCCGAAATCCTCAACCGAATTCGAACCAAGTTGTAATTCGGTTCGGTTCGACCGAACCGAATTACAACTCGGTTCGGTTCGGTTTGAAGGGTCAGAACCGGATTGCTACTGCTGCCCCCCGTTTTTGCCTGCTGCCTTTTTTTTGGTGAACAAGGGCGCTAAAAGCACCTTCCAGAACCACCGCATCTCTCCCATACACCCAAACCCTCATGTCTCTCCATTTCTCCCTCTCTCTCCCCCCTCCAACAAAAGCAATCGATGTAGATTAGAAAGCGACGGTGCTGCGGTGGAATATCCTCCGTCTCGTGACTCATCGGTGAGCAAAAACAGCAGGCTGCGACGGCGGTATCTCCTCCGACTCGCGACTCGTCGGCGAGCAGAAACAGCGGGCTGCGGCGGCGGTATCTCCTCTGACTCGCGACTCGGCGGCGAACAGAAAGCAGCGGTGCTGCGGTGGTATCTCCTCCGTCTCACGACTCACCGGCAACCGCGATTGATGCAGAAGCTAGAATACAACGCAACGGCAGGCGGGTATGACGATTGAATGTTAGAGGTCAGTATGGTTGTAGATTCAAGCATGCATGTCGTTTTTCTGTTTGATTTTCACCTTCGAGTTTCAGTAGCATCGTCGCTCTTTTCGATTCAGGAGTAGAAAGCTTGGATTTTGGAGAAGAAAGTTCTGATTTTCAATATTGATTTGATGCATTTGGGGTTTTATATTTGGATTTGGGTTTTTTTTTATCTCAGGGAGGAGAAGGGAGCGGAGAGAGGGGAAATGGCATCGAAATCTAGTGGCCGGCGAGGAGGAGTTGGCGGCAAAGCCAGCGGATGAGAGGAGGATTCGGCGGACGGCGATGATGATGGATGGTCGTTGGCGGCTTGTGTCAAGGATTTGGTGTTCTTTGTTAGGGTTAGGTTAGCAGTAGGGATGGAGAAGTTGTGGGCTTAAGGGATTAATTTTGGGCTTTGTTTGATTTGGGTTGTGAGGGATTTGTGTTTTATTTGGGCTGTGAAAGAATTGGGCTTTGTGAGAGGTTGAGTGGTCAGTTGGGTTGTAGTATTGTGGGTTAAATTTTTTGTTCGGTTTCTCGGTTCGGTTGTTCGGAATTCGGTTTCGGTCTGCATACACCTGGTTTCCGAAACAAAGGGTTTTGGCTTCCGAATTCCGAACCGAACAACAATAATTCGGTTTCGGTTCGGTGTAATTCGGTTTCGGTTCGGTTCGGTTCGGGTTTACCGAACCGGATGCCCACCCCTAGCCACAACGACTGGAGAAAGAGAATCAAAATGAAAAGTTCGAGGAAAAATCGCCAAACGCCAAGGCAAGAAAAGCGAGAACAAGAAAAACACAAATAAAGCGAAAGGAGAAGGAAGTGAGCTGTCACCGATCACTCAAAGAGAGCCAGCGACAGCCCCTGAAGGCGGAAGAGTGGAGCTGGAGTTAAAAAGAAGGGAGAACAAAAATTAAAATTTAAGGATGCGAGAGAAGGTGTTTTCGTTTGTTGGTTGTTGTTTCCATATCGAAGATTATACCAAAAAAACCAGTAATAGAATATCTTGTAAAATCGGATTCAATGGCTTCCTACCACTAAAATCGCATATCAATTTAGTGCCGGTTTCGTGTTTTAAGGTTGGACCGAGTGGAGCCGTAGGGTTTCTACTTTCTGGAACATTTCTATCATCTCAAAATCCCTAATCTCCTTTCTTTGCCGCCCGGTCGCAGCCAACCCGAATAAACCCCGGGGTCGGTACAGTCACTGACTCGCTTCTGCTTCGCCTGCTGTTCTAAATAGCCTGCTGCCTGATCGCGACGCCGCTCTTGTTGCTCCGTCAATCGGCCGCGGCGCCAAGTCATATGCTTTTAGCGGCGTGTTGGCCATCTTCCGAAGGTCGTCGTGTCTCCTCTGAAGCTGGATTTAGCCATTAGTCACCGAAGGTCGGATCGCCATCGCTCCGTCGTCTGATTCATTGGCGTCAAAAGGCATCATCTTCCTCCGAGGCTGAACCTGGTCGCTGAAGCTCGCGTCGCTGTCTCTTTGTACTCACAATGCTAGCGCTGAAGGCACTATCGACTTCCCGTCTCGGAAATCGATGGTTGATTCCGGTGGGGGTTTTCCCCTTTTCCCCCTTCTCTGAACTGGCAGGAAGGTCAACAATTTCAAGCTCTAAATGTTTAGTTGACTGTCTGATTACAAAATTCGAATTCCCTGAAACCAAAGCCCTCTCCATCGCTGCTCGACTTCCCCGTCTCAAATCTTCCCAAAAGCCCCAAGCTTTGTTCGCGTTCCTGCGAGGCCTAATGTTCTCTCTTGACTGTATTCAGTCTACTGTCTCTGGGGCTCCGCAGATTCTGTTCGCTAACGTTGACAAGAACCTTAAACCCAAGATCGAGCTGTTTCAGAAATTGGGTTTCGAGAGTCTTCGTCTTGTTAAGTTCATCTCTAAGCATAGTGCTCTGTTTTCTTATAGTCTGGAGAAGAAGCTGCGTCCTCGAGTTCATATTTTGCTGGAAACTTTCCATCAGAAGGATGTGCTTACGGCTATTGAAAAATGCAGTTGGCTTGCATGTATGTACCCAAATTCTAGATTGCTGTCGAACGTTGCTTTGTTGCAGAGCTGTGGCATTGTTGGGTCTCAGCTCTCGATGCTGTTGAAGATGCAGCCTAGGTTGTTCATTAGGACAGATTGTCAAGTTAGAGACATTGTTTCGAGGACGTTGGGTTTGGGGTTTTCAGTGGAATCACGGATGTTTATATATGGTTTGTCTGCTGTTAGTGCCTTCAGCGTGGCAACACTTGACCGGAAGTTTGCTGTATTCGAGGGTTTTGGGTTTTCAAGGAGTGAATGCATTGCAATGTTCAGAAGATGTCCGACCGTGCTGAGTCGCTGTGATGAGAAGTTAAGTTCTGGCGTGGATTTCTTTTTGAACACCGTGAATCTGACAAAGGAGATGGTGGTTCGTAGTCCTGCACTGTTGATGTATAGCATGGAGGGAAGAGTTATTCCTCGATATCGAGTTTTGAAGACTATGGAATCAAAGTTTCTGCTCAAGAAGAAGCCAAGCTTTAACTCTGTTATGAGTCTTACAAATGAAAGATTCGTGGAAAAGTTCGTATTCATGTATCCAGAACATGCAGAGGAACTATTAATTGTTTACAATGGTCGCTATGTGGATTCCTCTGCAGATGCAGCTTATTCATAGTTGTCAGTGATTTGATTTCATCCAGCCACCTCACCTGGGGACCTTGTTGCAAATGCTTTTGATGCGAAAGATATGTTGGTGATTTGAAATTTTGTTGAGGGTCCATGGTTCTTAGAAGAATGGAATGGAATTGCAGATGTAAAGTGATCATCTTGGACATTTTCTGTTCATCTTGTGGCGAAGTTGACAGCAAGAAAACCTTTGTGGAGGCCATCAGTATTGCAATGATTTTCTGTGTTTGTCAGAGATGCTCTCTGTTTGATATCTGATGATTAAATTCCACAAAGAGAGGGAACACCACAAGGGATATGTGCTTAGGGCTTCTCTTTATAGCAAGCTTGTAAAAAACTTGTGCATGTGCTGTGCTTTGATAACATCAAAATCGTTGCCTCTTAGGCGGGGAGCACGTGTCTGAATCATTGCCTCTTCAGGATTAATAACATCAAAATCGGTGAAAACGATTATTAGAATTGGTGTAGAAGCTAATGTGGTTTATCTACTAGTAGTGTCAAGTCAACTTGAGGCCTCAGAGCCCTGTATGGTGATTTAGGAGCCAATGGTCTATTTGCCCATCTCCTTTCTGTACTTGGTCCTTCTGCGACAGCAAGTCAAGAGTCTATTTGCCCATACCCTTGCTTGATATTGCTCGACTTTCTGTTGCCATTAACTGTTTAGCCAAACCTGGTCCTTAGCTGGTGTTTCTAACATGTTCCATGGTATATACACGTTTCTGGTGTAATCTGGGCAGAATTGATATGCTGGTAACACACTAACACTGGAGTTGACAATTTCTGTCTTGTTCTTGTGTTGCTCAGCTCTTGATAAGCATATGACAGTGTTGATACTCGGTATTATCGTCTCATGATGGTGCTGCAGAAAGCAGTCGGAGGATGACCGTCCTGAGAAACACTTTCGAGGTTCAACTGCCAGAGGGATTGTGCCGTTTTGCGCAGTTTCCATGCTCCTTGATGGCTAGTTTTTCTGTTATTTGCCTATTTGTAGGGGAAATGGCATGGCATGTTATGTGAATAGTCAAGAACCAGTTGATCCCAATAACTCGAGTTGTTGGGAGAGGTTCAATCGTGGATCATATACCACAACAATAACACGCCCCTTCAAACGAAAGCCACTTAAAAGAGTTTGAAGTTTGCACAGGTCTGAAGACAAGAATACCATGTGCTTAACAAATGGGGGTCACCGGGAATCGAACACAAGACCTCTCGATCACATAAGGCTCTGATACCATGTCAAGAACCAGTTGATCCCAATAACTCGAGTTGTTGGGAGAGGTTCAATCGTGGATCATATACCACAACAATAACAAATACCCTTTCAACTGGAGATAGCCCTCATATGCTTGGAAATATACACCATTTGATGTGGCAGTAAAAAGGAAGATTTCGCGGGTAAGGTTCGATCCTTTGAAGTTGATTTTGTTATGCCTGTGGTTATAGGTGTCAAAACATGACCCGACCCGAGTAACCCGTCCAACCAACCCGATCCGCGACCCGCCCGCAACCCGATTGGACTAAAGGTCAAAGACTCGCAACCCGCCCGACCCGCAACCCGCAACCCGCTTGACCTGCAACCCGCTTGACCCGAACCCGATTGACCCGCAACCCGCTTGTCCCGCAACCCGCTTGACCCGTAATTCGACTAACTCGAACCCGCCCGATTGGCACGAATAATACTACATAATATATTTTGTGCATAAGTATTATATTTAGATAATATATATATAAAGTTTATGTGACTTGCCTATTATTTTTTCATCTTTCCCACCAAGAACAAAAGTTTACTTTGTGTTGACAAATGAAAACTGCCACTAAATTTTAAAATAAAAAGTTAGATTGTAATTAATGGTTTAGTAAGACCATCCTTAAAATTTATTTTATGTCAACGTATACATACAATTCACTTAATGTATATCATAGTTAGTAAAATACGGTACGGGAAAGTTACGTATTAAATACTTACGGGTATTATACTTTGTCTCTTAGTTAATGTTACGTTTAATAGTACGTTAATAGTTATAAATATGTAACTATTGAACAACATGTTATAAGAACTCATAACATACCAAACTAATAGTCTAGTATGTTAGATAACATGCTCAACAACGCATTCACGAGTTTAAGTGCAATACTCACATAACATCGTCGAATATGAGTTACTCTATAGTTTTATATCAATTCAATAGCGTAATAACTTTTAAATATTAGTATATACATTTCAAAAAATTACCCAGTCACGTCAACACTATCTATTTCATGCCAACATTATATGATTCACGCACATTCATCTCTGAAAACGCCAAAACCATATGATTCACGCCAATACCCATCTGATACACGCCAACACTATGTGATTCACGCAAACACATTCTCATTCACGTAAACACTATGTGATTCACGCGAAAACAACCTGACTCACGCAAATAGATCGCCATTCACGCCAATATTTATCTGATTCACGCATATTCATGTAGGGACATGCCAAAACTATATGTCACGCCAATACACATCTAATTCACGCACATTCATCTCTGAAAACGCCAAAATCATATGATTCACGCCAATACCCATCTGATTCACACCAACATTATGTGATTCACGCAAACACATTCTCATTCACGTCAACACTATGTGATTCACGCCAAAACAATCTGACTCACGCAAATGGATCCCCATTCACGCCAATATTAATCTGATTCACTCATATTCATGTAGGGACATGCCAAAACTATGTCACGCCAATACACATCTAATTCACGCACATTCATCTCTGAAAACGCCAAAACCATATGATTCACGCCAATACCCATCTGATTCACGCCAACATTATGTGATTCACGCAAACACATTCTCATTCACGTCAATACTATGTGATTCACGCCAAAACAATCTGACTCACGCAAATGGATCGCCATTCACGCCAATATTAATCTGATTTCACGCATATTCAATCTCATCCACTATATTCAAATAAGATCAAGGAAAAGTTCTTGTCTCTAGATGTGCCAAGAGACCAGACTCGAAGATCAATAAGGTATAACTATTCAACAACATGTTATAAGAACTCATAACATACCAAACTAATAGTCCAGTATGTTAGATAACATGCTCAACAACGCATTCACGAGTTTAAGTGCAATACTCACATCACATTGTCGAATATGAGTTACTCTATAGTTTTATATCAATTCAATAGCGTAATAACTTTTAAATATTAGTATATACATTTCAAAAAATTATCCGGTCACGTCAACACTATCTATTTCACGCCAACATTATATGATTCACGCACATTCATCTATGAAAACGCCAAAACCATATGATTCACGCCAATACCCATCTGATACACGCCAGCACTATGTGATTCACGCAAACACATTCTCATTCACGTCAAAACTATGTGATTCATGCCAAAACAATCTAACTCACGCAAATGGATCGCCATTCACGCCAATATTAATCTGATTCACGCATATTCATGTAGGGACATGCCAAAACTATAAGTCAAGCCAATACACATCTAATTCACGCACATTCATCTCTGAAAACGCCAAAACCATATGATTCACGCCAATACCCATCTGATTCACGCCAACATTATGTGATTCACGTAAACACATTCTCATTCACGTCAACACTATGTGATTCACGCCAAAACAATCTGACTTACGCAAATGGATCGCCATTCACGCCAATATTAATATGATTTCACGCATATTTACGGGAAACACACTTACAAATATGGGATTTCCAGTGACTAAAGGATCTTTTTCTTGTAGTGATTCTATTATATTTGATTAAACATCATGTAATGATCTCAACTATCAAGACTCAAGAGATTGTTTCATAGGTTTATGATCAAGCAAGTTGTCAGTTTTTTAATTTCTTATGTTGGTTTTGTAACCTTAATGAATCCTCTGCAACATCAAACTTGTTTATGATATATTCAAGCAAAATCTAGTCACTCATTTGTTTAATAATGTATCTTCATATTTTTTTCATTGCAATATGATGATCAGTGAGTTTGTTTTAAATTAGTGTAATAACTAATTATAAAAAAAATTCGATGGTTTGGACCGAACAACCCGCAATCCGATCAACCCGAACCCGATTGATACGCAACCCGATCAACCCGTAACCCAATTGATCCGCAACCCGATCAACCCGAACCCGATCAACCCGCAATCCGATCAACCCGCAACCCGATCAGCCCGCAACCAGATCAACCCGAACCCGCTTGACCCGCAATCCGCTTGACCCACAACCCGCTTGACCCGCAACCCGATTAACCCGTGACCCGACCCGAACCCGCCCGATTGACACCTATACCTGTGGTCAACATATTATGACTCTATGTCAACTTATTCGTCATGCAGGAAAGCTCAGAACAGGGTAGCCCCGCGGCTCTATTCGACAAAGTGCGCAAGAAGTTATCCAATATGAGTAGCAACATAGAATGTTGCTAAATATCAATGTTTATGAATCTGGTTGTGATTTTTTTTTTTTTTAGTTTGGTTGGTAATCATTTATATACTTATTACTAAAGTTCTAATTGATTTCTAGTATGGGGTATCAACGATTTTCTCCTACGAGTAACGATGTTCGTGAGTTGTGAATTCGATTACTTAATATGGTTAGTAACTACTTTGAGTGTGGTTCTGAATGAAGTCATTAAAAAGTTTGAATATGCTACGTAACAATGCGGAGCCGAGGTGATATGGATTTTTACGATGTGATTAGGAGAGAGATTTTTGTGTTTATTTAAATTTGCAAATTATTTAAGGCGGAAAGTAGTAAACAAAAGGCCAAAAGTAGTCATTCTTCTTACATATAATTAGTGGGTATGATTTTTGCCAAAATTTCTTGCTACTGTTTCAATTCTTGGCCTTTAGTGAGTTGAAACCAAAAACCTTTTCCTGGAGAGCTTCTTTCAAACTCGACAATTTGTGACTGCTCTGACCCAGCAGAAGTTATCGGCTGCTGCACTGGGTGACCATACCTTCCCCCTGCTCCTCCGTCAACTTCACTGTCCTTCTTCCAATTGCCTCCTCTCTGAATATGATCCTACATGCCACCGCCCTTGCCGCTTTTGCAGAGAGCTCTTTGGACACACCACCTTCCCATCCATCACAGCTGATTGGACACGGCACCAGCCATTGATTGTATTGATTCAGCAACAACCCCACTCTGCATTGGGTGAAGAGTTGTCCTCTCTGGTTCCCATGCTTTTGAAAGAAGTTTTGGCCCCTTTTGTGCGTTACATTTACAACCCCTTTGGCCCGCTGCTGCTTTTCTTCCACAAAATAATCTCTCCATCCCATCAGTCCTTTTTACTGTCTCCTTGCTTTCCCACTCTCATCCAGATCCCAATCTTTTCGTTTCTTCCTCTCTCTTCGACTCATGCCGTTGGGAAAAAATCAGCGGCAACGATGGTGAGAATCCTCCCATGGAGGACCAGATGCAAGGATCATTGGTTTTACCCTAAGTGATTGACGAAAGTTCGCTCGCAGAGAAGGGCCGAGCAAAATAGTTGATTTTTGTCTATTCTTTCCGTTCTCTCTGGTCGAGGTCCATCAACAGCAGCTCCGACGCGGAAGGTCACAACGATGACAAGAATGCTGACGACGACAAAAGTGTTGAACTTTCACATCTCAGCAACGGTCGGTATGGTTTTCACTTTTACAATCGATTTTCGTTTTGCTTGCCTGGACTTTTGTTCCTCTCTTTTTTCCATATCTAGGACACTAGAGTTTTCAATGGTTTGGTGGCTGTTTGGTGTCCTCGCCTGACGTGTTTGGATCTCAATTGTGGCCTCAGTTGATCGGGGAACTTCAGTGCGGGGCTGACAGGGAGACACGAAAAAGAGGGAGGAGACGCGTTCAAATCTGTTCCACGAGAATGAGACACAAGAATGGCTTGAATGTCAATCTTCAGGTAAATGCTATTTATTTTAATATTGTACTTATTTCGAGCATCGTTCTTGCCTATTCTTATTTGATTTCATGAGTAATTAAAGCCCTTATGCTGCCGTGCATATAGATATTAACCACATCCGTGTAAACTAGGGGAGGCTGCAGGGAAGGTAGGAGGATTTACATAGGGGTGGTAATCGGTCGGTTAACTGGTTACCGACTAACCGGTTATACCGGTTTCCCCCAATATGCTGCCGACTACCGATACCGGAAGAAAACCGGTTAACCGGATAACCAAATAATCGGTTATCGGTTAGCCGATTACTACCTAACAAATAAATCCCTAATATTTGTCTCTCCGCTCCTCACGACTCATGCAGCCCACCAAATCAAAATGCTTACCCTCTCGGAAACCATTCAATTCCAAAACACCTTCTTCGACGACCACGACTTCGCAAAGCAAATACAAAGCGGCCAACGCATGGCGGCGACAATGGTTCCTCAACGCGTGGCGGTGACTGAAGAAAACAACGGTGGCTTGATGGTCGTCGATGCGATGGCTCGACACTATCTGGATTTTGGTGAGAAAGTCGCGACGGCGGCGTTGGGAGGAACTGGTCGACGACGAGTGAGATAGCGACGGCGATGGTAGGTCCGACTTCTGCTATGTGCCCAAATCTCTTTCCCGGCGACGGCGATTTTATCTTTGCCTAGATAGCGGCAGCGATGGTAGGAGACAAACCTCTGTCATTCCCTTTCCCGGCGAGTTCATCTTTGCTCAGATCCATTCACCCCGCATCGTCGTAGGTCCGACTTCTTCTATGTGCTTGATTGGGGTTTGACGGTTGATTTGCATTTTACTCATCAGGTGCGAATTGATTGGGGATTTGGGGTTGCTCTCTGGATTTTGCAGATTTGGAGAGGCAGAGTAATGGCTTTTGGAAAGATTTTATTTTATCAGCCAGTCGCAATTGGGTTTCTCAGCCCTTGCTCTCCGAAGATGACGGTGGACTTGCGGGAGAGAGGCGACATCCAGAAACCTTTCTTCTCTAGATCGATGAAGGCGATAAGGTCGGAGAGAAGAGAATGGCTCGCATGCAGGGGAAGGGAATCGGTATATTCGGTATACCGATTTGCCGCCGGTTATTTACCGGATGGGAGTCGGTACACCGATAGGTGGATTTTGACTACCACATACCGATACCGCCGGTTACCGGTTATACCGTTAACAGGCAAACCAATTACCACCCCTAGATTTACATATCTCCAAATTGCTATTTTTGTGTGTGAATTGCCTTTGATTAGATATGGGTGCTTTGTTTCCTTTTGGAACCTTTAGCTGCAGACAGGAGGGTGGACAGTGTAGCCACAGTGGTGATTGTCGAAAGCAAGGACTTCAATAAGAAACTTAAGCTTGGAAAAATGGTTATGTAGGGTCGGACAACACCTTGACAATCCATTAGGTATTTAACCCCTTCAACTTAGATTGCAGTTCCTCTAACAACTTAAGTACTAAATAAATTAGACACTGCTTGGTGTCCTGCTATGTAATGACACATTTTGTCGTTGATCTTGCAAGAATGAAGTGCCAAAATCATTGAACATTCCTTTCAGTTATAGCCATTCAGTTCTATGAACTAAACTTGCATAAATTGGTAGTTTCTTTTTTAAGGTTATGATTTTGAGACTCTGGACATACATTGCATGTTCAGTTTTAGTTATATAATAAGTCTTACATCTTTGATGATTACTTGATACGAGAATGGTTTTTATTGTTGTACATTTAAACAAATTAGAGGTTTGCTAGGTCCGTGTTGTTTCTCTCAGGTTTTCTTTTCCTTTTCCGCTGCTCTAAGACTGGAGCCTGAACTTCAAGACTGAAGTCTCTACTCTCTTATCTGTTAAATAGGGGCGGTGGGAGTCCTCTGTCACTAGTATTTGGAGGTGGGTATATCAAATTCTCAAATGACTTTGTACCTAAATTGTCGTCTGACTTGCTTAATTTAGAAGGAACTAATGACAGATTGTAAAAACCCAGCATTATTGGTTTACCATACTTTGTAGAGATTTGGAGAAGCAAAGCAAGCAACCATCGATAGTCTCCTGCATGGAGAGGGTCAAGGAGATTACGAAAAACAGATGGAAACAAGATGGTTCATGGAGCGGATATTAAAAGAGACTACGGAATTGCAGCTGGAGAGCAACTCCATTGAACAACGCAGTCCTATTCAACATGAAAAGCCTTTTCAGTTGACAGTCAGATCAAGTGATGGGAGTAGAAGCTTGATTTGATGTGAAGTGTCATCTTGGATAGTCATAGTCAATGGATATATTGTTGGGGATTACAGGTGGTGGCTCCTTACAGATGAAGTTATCGTAGGTGGCACTTTTCAGCTTTGGCACGGGTGATTCTACTTAGCTTACTATGAAGTGTGATCTTGCCATTGTAGATTAGATAGTGAACTGTAAATAATTTTATAATTACAGGTTGCTGCAGAATCAGAAAGTGAACTTACCAAACTAGAGGTTGCAACTCTGTTTTCTTTACCCTTCTGGTGTGAAATGGGATTTTCCTGACCTATATATATGATTGATTTGTCATCATTGGACTAGATATAGGGATTTAAATTCTAATATTGTCAATTCTGGATTTAATATTGTATACTCTTACCTGCTTCAGTTTGCAGGTGTTCTATTTGAATGGGATCTAGGAAGGTATCCCATTCCAGGAATATTTGAGTTCATTTATACTTGGAGATGCTAAGTACAGACTCCCCTTTTATTAAGGCGCTTATAATCATTCTTGCTTTGCGTACTTCTTCCTTCAAGCATAATTCTCATAACATGTATTAATTTATACACAATCTGCAGACATAGAAGGATGTGTTACTCATACCCTTATTGGAAGTGTTGTCATTGATGTTTGTCTACCATTTTTATTTAATTATATTGGTCCATTTTCTTTCAATGGAAGATAGCCAATTTCAAACTAAGAACCACCAGCTATCTGTGTATGAATCATTCGGAACATATGGTTCTTGCTTTTTGTATATCATTTCTCATTATTTTCGTTATGAATATATTCAAGCCAAGGAGTTCAGTAGGAAGGTGAACCTTGCGGATGGAAGGACAATCCAAATAAAGAATAATTGAATAAATCCAAGGTTGAACTTGGAGATGTAAACGAAGTTGCAGCCGGCGACCCTTGAAGAAATGCGCTAGTCCCCGCACCCAGCTCATTGCGAGAGACTCCCGACATCCAACTAGAAGCGAGAGACTCCTGCGCAAATTTCTCCCTCTTTCTGATCGGAGTCCGTCGTCCCAGCCACTCCTCCTCCTCCATCTTCCCGAGTGGCGACTGCTCCTCCTCCTCCTCCTCCATCGTCCCGACCACTCCTCCGTCGATTTGTGCCTGACTCCATCACCTGCAATACTTGAAAAATCCGAGATCTATTGTCCCACATTCCCACCCCTCCTCTTATGCTTATTGTGAAACTTCCTGGAACCCTAAATCTAGATTGCTCTAATAAATCCAATTCAATAAAACTAGCTTTTTAGGATGAATTGGACAAGCATTAGTATGGGGTTTTTTAACTTACTAGAATTTCAGGCAAGGATGTGTTGTAATTTTTTTGGCTAAATTGGGTTTTCTGTTGTAAATTTGTTTATGGCCGAGAATTGCAGGTGAGGAATGGTCAATTATTAATTTATCATGTCCAAAATAAATTCGGCTGCTTGAGAATCTGTGGGTTGTAGCCTGTAGGCTGGCGCCGAGGGAGTAGTAGAACGCCATAGGTGGGCGCCGTTGTGGGAAGGTGGACGGCGGAGTGGGAAGCTTCGATGGACAAAGATGCTCAGGAGACGTACGAAATTAGATTAGGGTTTTTTAATCCCGCCTGCATATAATATAATTATATTATAATTCCAGTTTAAGGGGTAATTGGATCATTTCCCAATTCATTTAACAGATATTTCACATAATTTTTAAAGGAAGGGTATTTTTATTACATTGTGATAATAGAAGGGTATGTTTGTGCAAAAATATAGTATAGGGGCACATTTGTTAATTAACAGTAGTAGAGGGGCACAAAATGCTATTATCCCTTATGCTATTATTAAGGTATTCGTTAGATTAATAGAAAGATTGTTACTCAATGTTTTCTAAATCTTTTCTGCACTTAATCATGAGCTCATTAGAATAAGATGGCACACAACACTTTGGCGGTCTTAAATTTCTATAGCTCTAGCCTCACCTTTCGTTGTCTAGCGGGCTATTCCTATGTTGATTAATTATGAAACTCGGGATACAAATGTTTCCTACACACACTTTCAAAACTTTTAAAACACACACTGTTGCCAATAAGATACTGATCCTTAATTTACCGTTACCTTAATTAACCACCATACAGTCATGCAAGTGCAGCTTTAGTTCCTACGACGTTGCGTAGCTGGAGTAGGTATTGATTCTAGTTGCATACTAACAGTGGAGTACAACAATACTATTATCCGAGTATTGTGAAACTGTATCAAAGGCTTTTTTTTTATACAAAAGAGTATTGCACTTTGAAAGATCGGTTACAGAGAGGAAAAATAAATACATTGGATCAAAACCAAGATCAAAGCAACTCAGGAAAACCGGTTGAAATCAAACTGTGGTTGAAAGGTACATCAAAGATTAGCAAGGCAACAAAATGACATCAACCACCCAAACACAACTAAGCTTTTGAACCAAACACAACTGACAACACACTCACAAGCTTTCTTTCTTCTAACCAGACAAAGGTGCAATGAGATCAGCAACAACTTGTCCAATCACAGCGAAATCTATGACAATTGAGTACAACAATGCCATATGTCACATCTTGTAGATTGCTCAAATACATCAATCACAGTGAATCTAAAAAAACGAGTAGAGAATAACTTCACCATAGACGATGAGACCACCAGACTAGGGCAATCAACCATCACAAGGAGCGAATCAATATTCCCAACATGTAATCTCCAGATCCCAAGATGAGCTAGCCCATAACAGGAAACCCAATATAGAACGAAGAGCAACAACTAGACTAGAGAGTGAAAAATGGAAGGCCACAACGACTGGAGAAAGAGAATCAAAACGAAAAGTTCGAGAAAAAATCACCAAACGCCAGGGCAAGAAAAGCGAGAACAAGAAAAGCACAAATAAAGCGAAAGGAGAAGGAAGTGAGCTGCCACCGGTCACTCAAAGGGAGCCAGCGGCAGCCCCTGGATGCGGAAGAGTGGAGCTGGAGTTAAAGAGAAGGGAGAGCAAAAATTAAAATTTAAGGATGCGAGAGAAGAAGTTTTCATTTGTTGGTTGTTGTTTCCGTATCGAAGATTATACCGAAAAAACCAATAGTAGAATATCTAGTAAAATCGGGTTTTTTTTTACAAATAATTCAACTTTTATTCCTCCCTCGAAAAAGGCGAACAAATTACAATCTTACAGAAGATCGGAAATTAGATCAAGAATATTAATCCAGTCAACAGGCAGATTAGATCTCGCTTTAGATCGTGCAACCCAGTCCGCTCAAACATTCATCGCTCTTGGTACCTCCTTGACTTTAAAGGCAGGCTTTGACCTGAGGATATTGATCATAGACTCCATCCATGCTGCACAGCGCCATGACCATCTTGATTAACCTTTACCCAAAGCTTTCACCAGTATCTGACAGTCAGATTGGACCGAGTAAAATCGGATTCATTGGCTTCCTACCACTAAAATCGCATAGGCCGGTTTCGTGTATTAAGGTTGGACCGAGTGGAGCCGTAGGGTTTCTACTTTCTGGAACATTTCTATCATCTCAAAATCCCTAATCTCCTTTCTTTGCCGCCCGGTCGCAGCCAACCCGAATAAACCCCGGGGTCGGTACAGTCACTGACTCGCTTCTGCTTCGCCTGCTGTTCTAAATAGCCTGCTGCCTGATCGCGACGCCGCTCTTGTTGCTCCGTCAATCGGCCGCGGCGCCAAGTCATATGCTTTTAGCGTCGTGTTGGCCATCCTCCGAAGGTCGTCGTGTCTCCTCTGAAGCTGGATTTAGCCATTAGTCACCGAAGGTCGGATCGCCATCGCTCCGTCGTCTGATTCATTGGCGTCAAAAGGCATCATCTTCCTCCGGGGCTGAACCTGGTCGCGTCGCTGTCTCTTTGTACTCACAATGCTAGCGCTGAAGGCACTATCGACTTCCCGTCTCGGAAATCGATGGTTGATTCCGGTGGGGGTTTTCCCCATTTCCCCCTTCTCTGAACTGGCAGGAAGGTCAACAAGTTCAAGCTCTACATGTTTAATTGACTGTCTGATTACAAAATTCGAATTCCCTGAAACCAAAGCCCTCTCCATCGCTGCTCGAATTCCCCGTCTCAAATCTTCCCAAAAGCCCCAAGCTTTGTTCGCGTTCCTGCGAGGCCTAGGGTTCTCTCTTGACTGTATTCAGTCTACTGTCTCTGGGGCTCCGCAGATTCTCTTCGCCAACGTTGACAAGAACCTTAAACCCAAGATCGAGCTGTTTCAGAAATTGGGTTTCGAGAGTCCTCGTCTTGTTAAGTTCCTCTCTAAGAATGGTGCTGTGTTTGCTGCTAGTCTGGAGAAGAAGCTGCGTCCTCGAGTTCATATTTTGCTGGAAACTTTCCATCAGAAGGATGTGCTTAAGGCTATTGAAAAATGCAGTTGGCTTGCATTTATGTACCCAAATTCTAGATTGCTGTCGAACGTTGCTTTGTTGCAGAGCTGTGGCATTGTTGGGTCTCAGCTCTCGATGCTGTTGAAGATGCAGCCTAGGTTGTTCATTAGGACAGATTGTCAAGTTAGAGACATTGTTTCGAGGACGTTGGGTTTGGGGTTTTCAGTGGAATCACGGATGTTTATATATGGGTTGTCTGCTGTTAGTGCCTTCAGCGTGGCAACACTTGACCGGAAGTTTGCTGTATTCGAGGGTTTTGGGTTTTCAAGGAGTGAATGCATTGCAATGTTCAGAAGAGTTCCGACCGTGCTGGGTCGCTGTGATGAGAAGTTAAGTTCTGGCGTGGATTTCTTTTTGAACACCGTGAATCTGACAAAGGAGATGGTGGTTCGTAGTCCTGCACTGTTGATGTATAGCATGGAGGGAAGAGTTATTCCTCGATATCGAGTTTTGAAGACTATGGAATCAAAGTTTCTGTTCAAGAAGAAGCCAAGCTTTAGCTCTGTTATGACTCTTACAAATGAAAGATTCGTGGAAAAGTTCGTATTCATGTATCCAGAACATGCAGAGGAACTATTAATTGCTTACAATGGTCGCAATGTGGATTCCTCTGCAGATGCAGCTTATTCATAGTTGTCAGTGATTTGATTTCATCCAGCCACCTCACCTGGAGACCTTGTTGCAAAAGCTTTTGATGCTAAAGATATGTTGGTGATTTGAAATTTTGTTGAGGGTCCATGGTTCTTAGAAGAATGGAATGGAGTTGCAGATGTAAAGTGATCATCTTGGACATTTTCTATTCATCTTGTGGCGAAGTTGACAGCAAGAAAACCTTTGTGGAGGCCATCAGTATTGCAATGATTTTATCAACAAGTTTACTTACTCATATTGTCCAGAGGATGAAAGGGAGTCGAAGACACTCATTTACTACAAATGAATCAAATGAATTATAAACTAATTAATGCTGCAATTTCTGATGATGTATGGTATTCATTCAAACTTTTCTTATTGAAGCAAGCTTGTTGAGTATGTTATTTCTTGCTAGCGTCACGACCAGATGTTTGCTTCTTTCGAACTCTGGATCCCCATTTGTGCACTTAGCTCATCCAATCCAACCTGCTATCAACTCTTCATCATGTTTGATGATCTTTGAAGTGCTTTTTTTGAATTGCTTAGCTTTGAAGTTGCAAAGATAAGGAAATCGAAGACACTCATTTACTACAAATGAATCAAATGAATTATGAACTAATTAACCAACCCTCCCCAAGAAACATATCATTCCGGGGGGTAAACAATGAAACCCATCACCCATCATTCCGAAAGGAATCAGAAGATGAAGCAATGGAGAAGCAGCAGGGAACCCAGAACCGAAACCAGGCGAGCAGCAAGACCGAAGCTGGACGCAGCAGCAGCTGCGCTCGTGGGCGCAACAGCAGGAGACATAACCTGCTGCGACTGGTCTTCATCCTCAGAAGCAGGGGAAGGAGCAGGAGAAGCAGTTCTGGGAGACAACACAACTATGATCACCTTCTGACCTTCCTTGCAATGTCCATCAGCTCCGCTGATGAAGTAGTGCGCGCCGGATCTCTCCAGCTTCACCTTGGTGTCCCCGTCTTTGTACTCTGCAATGGGTTCGGTGACATTGCAGGCGAGGTAAGCTTTCCTCGACACCTCCAGCACCGAGTCCTTCGTCCCGTCGTACTTCCACACTGCAATTTTGGGGAAACAAGAAGCACGAGAGAGTGGATTAGTTGAGAAACAGAGAGTTTAAGGTAGTCAATTCAATTGGGAAATTGTGAGGATGAAAAGAACGAACAGAGGGAGTCGCCGATGCGGAAGCGGGTGCGTTGGGCCCATTTGTTGAGGGAATCGGACTCCGACGATGGGATCGTCCAGGCGTCCGACTTCCCTCCCACTGTTATCTCTTTCGCTTCTGTGCAGAAGCACAGGAGCAGCAGAGCTGAAGAAGAGAGCAGAAAAGCTGTCCGAGAGGCGGCGGCGGCCATGGAGATGGTGAAATAGAAAGGGGCAAAGTAGTAATGTAAGAAATGGGGGGAGGTGGAGGCCAAAGTAGATTGTTTGCGGACGAAGTGGAGTGCAAACTGTGAAATTGGTAAAGCATTTTATAGTGAGAAAGAGACAGGAGGAGGAAGAAGAAGTAGCCGTTATGAGAATGGGCTCTGGCCAGGCTCTGATTCTGCTGCATGAAAAGAATACAATCACAACGGCTCCTACAATTATCATCTAGTCCTCTTTATTTTTCCAGTTTTCACTTTACACCCCCATCTTTCCTTTCTTTTGCTTTACCCCCTCGTTCCATTTGTCAAATATGCAGGTGACCTCGTGGCATGCAAATGCACGTGTCGCGTTCAGCTGTGTTCCATTCAACACGTGCCTAAAACTCTTTCTCCAGCTCTTCTCCTCCTTTAAATCTCATTCTAGGCTTCCATGGCTTCACTTTCGGTTTTGGTCGGACCATCGTCGGAAGAAATCCAGATGGCAGGCGGCGGAGAAGGAGACTGGAGGAAGCAGGCAGATACGCACAAGATGAGCTCGGAGGAAGTGAAAGCGGCGGGAGTTGAAGGCTCGAAGCGGCCACCGGGGCAGAACCCCGGTGGAGTTCTTCACCAGCGCAGGAAGATGCCTTTCAGCACCCCGACCATGGCCGCTGCCGGCTTTCTCGTTGTCGCGGGGATCGGGTACATGGTTCTTTACGCCAAGAAGAAACCGGAGGCGGATGCTCGTGATGTGGCCCGAGTCGCTACCAACACCGCCGATCCCCGTGACACTCATCCTCGCAGATAGATGGGAAAACATAGATTACTAGTTCGTATTCTCTTTTGATTTCATCATGCTCTTAATTACTTCTTTTCTGCAGTTCAATGTTTTGTCACGTTGAAATAACAGGAAACAATGATGCGCTATGTAAATATTTGGTCCTTAATGCTCTGTATCCTATGCAATTGAAATTGCTGTATTTTCTGTGTTCTGAGAAAGCTGATGACTGTAGACGGTACCGAACAGACTTTCAACGCAGCTCATATCTACATGCAACTATGCAAGATCCACCTCTTGTGATGAATCTCGATATGCAAGTGTCCTTTCGCCGATTTTTTCACTTGCCAATGGTGAAAAGTTCGTAATTCAGACCGGTTTTGAACTCCCAGAGTTCGCTAAGTTTAGAACTCCAGAGTTCAAGAAAACTTCCCTCGTGTCCAGAGGGTACAACTCGAAGAACGACGAAGTCGTCATATTGACGAAGGTCGAAGAACGACGACAACCATCGACAAGCGAAACAGGAGATGAACGAAGGTGAACAATTGAAAGGCTATTACATCATAATCTCTCGACGACATTGTCTAAATACAAAAATGAGCAACAAGAGTTTTACACCTGATAAAAATTCTTAACTTTTATCTACTAAAATTGTGAATCTTACCCTGTTTGGCTTCAAAATAAAGGAATGGGTGGAGCACAGAAGGACCGCTTGCAAAACCCGGATGATGATTCAATCCATCAATCAATCTTGACGGATGAGTAGATGAGCCTCGTGAACCAGAAGCATGCATAGAAACCGATTGTGCCGGTCAGGACGAAGAACGCATACGAAGCGATCAGCATGTAACCAAAGTACAACACTCCAGAGACTAGCTTCGTGATTTCCAGCTTCGTGAAGAAGTAGAACGTGGCATAGAGGAACAGGTAGACTGCAGAAGATCCTGAGGTGAGGTAAGATCTCCACCACCACAGATAGTCCTCGCTGCACAGCTGGAAGTAGCAGAGCACGACGGTGATCTCAGCGCAGGTGATGATGAGGATGATGAACACCAAGAAGAGGAATCCAAAGATGTAGTAGAACTGGTTCAGCCATATCGAGGTGAGGATGAAGAAGAGCTCGATGAAGACGGCTCCGAATGGGAGAATTCCACCGATCAGGATCGAGAAGGCAGGGTTCATGTACCAGGCTTGCTCCGGAATCTGCCTGGGGATTTTGTTAGTCTTTACAGGATCTTCCAGAGCTGGCTTCTTGAATCCAATATAGCTTCCGACAAAGACGAGTGGAACCGAGATACCAAACCACAAGAACACCAAAGCGAACATAGTGCCGAAGGGGACAGCTCCGGATGACTTCTGGCCCCATATGAGAGCGTTCAGGACGAAGAAGATGGCAGAGATGATCCCAGGGAACATGATTGCAGTTCGGAGGGCAATTTTCTTCCATTCGCCACCTTTAAATAGCTTGTAGAGACGGGAAGATGCGTATCCAGCAAACAGGCCCATGAAGACCCAGAGCAAAAGCATGGCTGTCATGAGGCCACCTCGGTTTGATGGGGAGAGGAAACCGAGAATGGCAAAGAGCATAGTCACAACGATCATGCAGAAGAACTGGACACCAGTTCCAACATAGACACAGAGTAGTTCCGAGTTCATTGGTGGCCTGAAAACATCGCCATGGACGAGTTTCCATCCGGTCTCTTCTTGAGCCTCTTCTTGGGTTTCTAGTTCGTTGTACTTGGAGATGTCGCGGTAAAGTGTCCTCAACATGATCATTGCTACCATGCCTGAGAGGAAGAGAACAATCATCAAGGAGTTGACGATTGAAAACCAGTGGATTTGATCATCACTCATAAGAAGATATGCATCCCATCTTGATGCCCATTTCACATCGCTCTCCTGGAAAGAGATTATATATCAGTATTCGAATTAAGAGAACCAGCATGCACCCTGTTACATTTCTATCATCTAAGCCAGGAGAAAAATAATACATCTGCATCACAGAATTCAAGGAAAAGCTCACCTGGAATTCAACATCATAAGTGAAAACAATTTCCTTTTTGTCATCAACTTCCTGAGGAGTGTTGGAGTTGATAACAGTACGCTTAGTATGAGGATCACAGGTGGTTAGACGTGTCTTATCCTCGGCCCATTTCCCCTCATATTCATGCTTGATACTGGAAAGTATAATGCTTGGGTCAGGACAGCAGCGGTAAGCTAAAATGATACAAGAGAAATTGATGCACAGAACACCCAGAATGAAGCAGTAAGGAAAGGAACTTGAATAACTCGACCTGTATGGCTTCACTTCAAAACCCACAATTCTTGCAGAGTCAGTTTGCAAGTCTCTGTGAAACTTTACAGTGAATGCTAAGTGGTTGTGGATGAAATATTTTTCCTCTTTGCTCTGCGTACAATCAGAAACTGTAAGACAAAAGCAATAACAAGACTGGCATAAACAAAAACAAAGTTTTAAGAACTGTCCATTTACCCCACTGTATTGGCCTTTGAATCCAACATGGTAACCAAGTTGAAAGATAGTAGGTGACTCCTGATCCAGCCTCCTTATTGCAACCACAAGAGGCAGATTATCGAGGATCCTGTTACACACATGACGGACAGTTAAGTATAACTCCAAACAGCTTTGGAACCATGATAATGTAGGCCCATGCTTTGTTGTGCAAAGGAAATCTTACATGTTGACCCTGTATTCGTCATCGATCTTCTCCTTAAACGCCTTAGCAGTCTTAGCATCAAGGTTAACCCGGCAAAGAACATTGCACATTTTGGGTTCCCTCATTTTAAACTGCAACGAATAACAGTTCAATGAAAACGAGTTGGGTTCCCAAACAAAAACAATGGCCAAATTCAATCTAACCTCACATAACCAACCCCCAAATTGATGCTTACCACATAGGGAGAGTTCTCAATTCGGTCACCGCGAAGAACTTCACCGAGATTCTCTGCACTGTCCACGATCTTGCCTGGGCGGCAGAAGGGCAGAGAATAGAAAGAGTAAGGAAGCTGCGTCTTGATAGACGTCAGCTTGTTCACCTTCACTCTCAACTCATCTCCCTGCGGTCAAACCAAGCAAACCAATTGGAGATCAGAATACAACAGTCCCACGCCATCAAATAGACTTTGTAGGTGGAAACAGCCTCCACTATATCCCCACGAGAAGATCCAAGAGGGAATTCCCCATTCAGCTAAACCTCAGTGCTCAGTATTCAGAATTCAAGCATCGAACGAACAGATGCAGCAATAACCTACAGTACTCGGTGTATAATCTAGTAAAATCCGATCCTAGAGCACACTTAGGTGCTTCAAGCCCAAATCCGAGCTGAAATCTATATTAAACAGGTAAACATCGCCCAGCATTTGCCAAGGAACTAATCGGGAACATGCACAGGGGGAAAACGCCCAAATACATCCAATGGCTGAGATTCAGAAACCGTAGGATTCCTTACTAAGAAGCTTCTCCCCCAGGACCAAATTTAACAGGGAAGGAACAGAAACGGGGGAAGCAGATCGGAGGACATTAATGCAGATCAATGGAGAAAGAGAGATAGAGAAAGAGAACCTTGATGAAATCCTCGGGAGCGACACCGGGGAGGTAGAAGGAGTGAGCTCCATGGACGAGAAACGAGAGGAGGAGGAGGAGAGTGGAGATCGGGGCGGCGAGAAATGGAGGATGCGATCTTCTGCATCTTCCTCCTGCAGGCGCCATTGAAGAAGAAACGGGATGGCTCCCCCTTTTTTCTTCGACGAGATTCAGAGAAGAAGAAGAAGAAGGGAGACGGTGGTGCGTTCGCAGATCTGGAGAGGTCGGGGGTGAGATATAGAGAGGGAAGAGAAGGAGTAGGACGGGAGATTTGCTTTTCTGTTGTTGGGTGACTCGATACCATAAAATTAAAAAAACATTTAAAAAAAAATTAAAACGACGGAGTTTAGAGAGAAAGAAGAGAGTCAGGTCAACCAAGCCGATTGTAAAAAAAAAAATTAACTCAAAAAATAAATCGGGAAATAAATAGATTATTAAATAATTAAACAAAACTTCGGGGACTGGGACTGGATCCGGGGGAGGAGTGAGGAAGACGTTATAACGTCTCTTTCTCCGTTTCCGTCTTTCGTTCTCTCGTGTCGGTGGCAGGGAAAGGTCGCCTCACCCTTCTTTATTGTGATTGTGCCGGATGGGCTCTGGATTAAGAGTGGGCTTGAATATGGAGAGATGGCCCAACAGGTCATGAGGCTGGATTTTTTATTGGGCTTGGGATCTTTTCGATTTCAACACTAGCTACCTTTATAATCCATTTGGTCTAGGGTTTGAGATGAGTTGGGTGCAAATTCATGGTAGTGGCAGTAGAGGATTAAAGAGTCTTTGCAAGGGATGAGTTTTCTGTTTGAGGAATTGAGACCACATGTGAATTGTTTGATGTTAAGAGTATTGATCGAATCAATCATGTCTTTGGAGCCAGGGACACAACGTTGTGTAGTGTGGATAGGTGACATAGTATAGCACGATTGACTAAATGCTTGATATGATGTTTATTTCTCGTTGGTAGTTTGAAAGAATTTACGTAAAAAAATAACATTTTTATGTGTTTGGAATTGAGTATTCATAGCGTTTTTCAATTGATTCGTCAAAATTAATGACTCGTGTCAGTAATAGTCAAGACTCGAGACTATCAATTGTCATTTTCTGTGAGTGTTTTCAATTCTTGGTCTTTGTTCCTGTATTTGCGATTGGGTTTGCAAGAACACTGATGTATCAACATTTTCCATTCCCCCTTTGTGTGTTCTTCCAGTGCTCAAACTATCGTCTCTCTGATCGTTGTTTGATTGCTTTTTGCAATGGTAGTTTCTTTCGAATCATGCATCTCCATTTTCATCAGCTCGACTTTCGTGCCTTTCTATGTTGCATTGAGTTCGACATGCTACTCTCTTAGTGTAAGTGATAACCATGTGTTCAGTATTTGTGGTTTCTTGCTCTTACTGCTGTTGGCCATAACAATTCAAGTTGTTGTGAGCAACTTGTGCATCTCATATGTCATTCAGATACCAAGACAGCCTTAAGGTGCTGCTTGTTTTCTCAAGCATCATCAATGAGCTTTATAAATTGTAAATATGCGTACACCAAAGACTTAGGGGTCGTTTGGTTTTTCCGATTGTTAAATTGATGTATTGTGAACAATACATGCATTATATTATACATGCATTGTTGAATTTGGTGTATTGTAGATTACAACGTTGTGTATTGTGGATAGGTGACATAGTATAGCACGATTGACTAAATGTTTGATATGATGTAAATCTACAAATGATAAAGGAGTGGTGTAAGATCTGGGATATAATGTTTATTTCTATGTATTTGATATGATGTAAACCTACAAGTGATAAAGGAGTTGTGTAAGATATGGGATATAATGTTTATTTCTTGTTGGTAGTTTGAAAGAATTTACATAAAAAAACTAACATTTTTATGTGTTTGGAACTAAGTATTCATAATTGATTCGTCGAAATTAATGACACATGTCGGTAATAGTCAAGACTCGAGACTATCAATTGTCATTTTCTGTGAGTGTTTTCAATTCATGTTCTTTGCTCCTGTATTTGCGATTGGGTTTGCAAGAACACTTATGTATCAACATTCCCATTCCCCCCTTTGTGTGTTGTTCCCTTGCTCAAACTATCGTCTCTCTGATCGCTGGTTGATTGCTTTTTGCAATGGTAGGTTTCTTTCGAACCATGCATCTCCATTTTCATCATCCTAGCTTTTGCGCCTTTCTGTGTTGTATTGAGTTCGACATGCTACTCTCTTAAGGGTGGTTTGGATGAAGGTTTTCTAAAACCTGGGATTTAACCCACAATCCCACAAGTTAAAAACCTAGGTTTTTAATATGATTATTTTTAACAAATTCCTTGTTTGGATACGAGCATCGAATTTTAATAAGAAAAATCAAATTACAACGTTAGTCTCATCTTTTACCTATCTTCTTTATCCCCTCCTCTTATTTGTGAACCTATCTTCTGCTTCTTCTTCCCCAAATCACAGAACCCACCAAACCTTCGATCGGTTGCCATAACCTCATAACCCATAGAATGAACATAGACCCATAACCCATAAAATGAACATAGAAACCAGACCATCAACACAAACCCATAACCCCACAAATCGCAAAACCCTAGCTCATTCGATTCGCAAAGAAAATGAACCATCAAATATCCCCCCCCCCCTCGACGCCGCGCCGCCACCACCACGCACGGGCGCCTTTATTGAATGAATCAAGAAGGTCTGATTCAAGGAAGATAGCAGCCACAGCTGTTGTTCACAGCAATCCTGGTCAACTCAGGATTCAAGGAAGTCAGCAGGGTCGAGAAGGACGCGACTGCAAGACTTTACAAGTTTGCAACTGATTGGCATTTTTACCTACGACATCGTTTCATTCTTTTATTCTTTTAATCTGTTAAACGCAGATTAGTTGGAAAATAACGAATCCTGCCAAGCCACGTGTCGGGCTTTGGTTTAAAGGATTCAAACAACGGTTAACACTGTTTGTTATCCGTTGTAATCTTCTCCCCCCTTTATGATATAAATATAAAACCCCAAAAGAGAGGACAGTAGGTTTTGTACTGATCCTCCACCCAATCCAGTCGTCTCCTTTCTTATGGTATCAGAGCGGGTTTCCGCCGTCCAGGGTTTCTAGTCTTCCGCAGCAGCTGTATCCATGGCGACGAACAACAACAATGAAGAGTCAGCCACTGCAACAGCTACTACAGACACTACTGGAAATACCAGTGGAGGAACATCTACAATTTCACCAGAGTTCGTCTTTGGTAACCCTTTCTATCAAAACCCTAACGAGAATCTTTCTCAATCTATCGTTTCAGAAGTGCTAGATGGTAGTAATTACCAGATGTGGGCTAGATCTATTCGCATTGCTCTTAAGACCAAGTATAAGGTTGGGTTTATTGATGGGTCGATTGAGGTTCCAGATCTCAGAACCAACCCTAATGAGTACAGGGCTTGGGATGCTTGCAATACAGCTGTTTTATGCTGGATTATGAACTCCTTACATAAGGATATTAAGCGAAGTGTGCAGAACCATGAGGTAGCACAGCTTCTTTGAGAAGAACTTAAGGACAGGTTTGGTCAAGCTAATGCCATTAAGTTGACTAACTTGGAGGATGAGCTTCATGCTACCAAGCAAGGGAACATGACCATTACTCAGTACTACACTCTTGTGAAGGGACTATGGGAAGAGTATACCAAATTCAACCCCATAGTACCCTGCACATGTGCTCCAGGACAAGTGACTCCATGTCCAACAGTGGAGGCTTTCAAGACCAAACAGGAAACTAATTACATGGTCAGGTTTCTTAGAGGAGTAGCACCTGCATTTGATGTTGTTAAGACACAGCTACTTATGATGAAGCCACTGCCCACAGTGGTTGCTGCCTATGGTGATTTGCTTCAACATGAGCAGAAGTTAAAGGGGGATAAGGGTAAGAGTGCACAGTCAGTTGCACTTGCCTCTTTTGGGAATCAATCTGGTCAAGGGAATACTGCAGGGAGATCACCAAGGTCAAATGCTTCTGAAGCAGGAGATACTGGTCTCTTTTTCAGATATTGCAAGAAGAACAATCACACTATTGCTAACTGCTAGAAGCTGAAGAGGAAGAACAAGGAACAGGGTACAGGCAATGGTTAGCGTTTTGCTGGAGCAGTTAATGAAGGGGATGAAGGGAATTCTGAGTCCTTCTCCAATGGAGGTTCTGGTAGCCAGAGTTCTGGTAATTTTGGTACTGGGAGTATCCTGAGTTTGCAGTTCACTAATGATGAGCTGAGTAAGCTGAAACTTCTACTGCAAGGAGTGGCAAACTCACCTTCTCCATCACCTTCACCACCTCTTTCACCAAGTATCCATCATGCTGCTTTTTCTGCATCACAGCATATACCTCAATTCCCTAACTCAGCTGGTAAATATATTCTCACTTCATATATTCACTGTCATTCAGCTATCCTTTGTCAGTCATGGATCTTAGACACAGGAGCCTCTGACCACATTATTTGTTCTAAATCACTGTTTGTTAGCTGCAAACCAGTTAAGGATGTCTATGTTTACCTTCCAAACAAATCTAGAGTCCTAGTTACCCACACTGGATCAGTTAAGCTACCAAATGGAATGCCCCTACATAATGTTCTACTCATTCCCAGTTTCACCTTCAATCTTGTGTCAGTTAGCAAGTTGACACATGACTTACCCATTTCTCTAAATTTCCACTCTGACTCTTGTCTTGTCCAGGACCTTGTAACCAACAAGAGGATTGGCTTGGCAAGACAAAGTAGAGGTCTGTACCTATTAACCACCAGTCCAGAGAGTGAGCTTAATCCTTCAGTAGCCTCAGTCTACAACTTTTCACCTCAAAAGATCAACCTCTGGCATTGGCGTTTAGGACATCCAAGTTCCAACAAGTTTTTGTTAGTTAAACAATGTAATCCCAGTGTTCAAAGTGAGAGAGTGAAACACTGTGATATTTGTCATTTTTCAAAACACAAGCGTTTACCTTTTGCTTTAAGTGAGAACAAGGCTGATGATGTATTTAATTTGATCCATGTTGAATGATTTTTATCACAAACATGGGATTGAACACCAAATGTCCTGTGTTGCTACTCCTGAACAGAATGGCAGGGTAGAGAGAAAGCACCAGCACATTTTGAATGTGGCAAGGGCTTTAAGATTCCAATCAGGGATTCCATTGCAGTTTTGGAGTGACTGCATACTACATGCAGTACACTTGATCAACAGGTTGCCAACACCTGTTCTTGACAACAAGAGTTCTTATGAAGTTTTGTATGGAACACCACCCTTCCTTGGTCATTTAAAAGTTTTTGGTTGTTTGGCTTATGCCTTCAGTTTGAGCAGTGGCAGGACAAAATTTCAATCCAGGTCCAGACAGTGTTTGTTTCTAGGTTACCCTATGGGAATCAAAGGTTACAAATTGTTTGACCTAACTACACATGACATTATTATTTCCAGAGATGTTGTTTTGTATGAA